GGGGGGGGGGACTCGGCTCCCCCGCTGGGAACGGGGAGAAGCAGCCGAGCGACTTGGGGCTGCGGGAGCCCTCCTCGCTCGCGCGTCTTTGTGCGCGTGTCAGCGTGCATGGGTTTTTGCGCCCAGGTCCCGGGGAGGCCGTGCTGGCGCGTCTCTCCGGTCGCCTGCAGCCCGCACGCGTCCTCGGGGTTTCCGTGTTTACGGACGCGAACGGTTCCGGCCTGGATGCTGGCAGCGGTTCCCCTGCACGGCGCGGCCCAGCTCCGGGCGCCGAGAGCGCGCTCGCAGTGTTTCCGTGCGACCCCGAGAGCCCCGGACAGCGGTGAAGGGAGGTGAAAGCTTGAGGTGGGGATGCTGCCTGGGAGGGAGGGAGACTCCAGGTGCCCCTCTGGGGAGCGATGTGTCGCTTGTCCCCTCGCCGCCTCAACTCGGAGCTTTCTTGGGCGACGGCCAACTGCACTTGCCCCGGGCTGGGGGACACCTAAGTGCCCCAATATATTGGGGACACCGGGCGGCACTGCGACTCCTCCTCCTGATATCCCGCTGCCACCTTTTGTTCACACGCCATTCTCGGCTCTTACGAGCGGCGCGTGCCCGGATCCCGGCGGAAACAGGCGGCCGGGGAGAAGGTGGGTGGCTCTGCAGGTTTAGATGTCAGACTACCCCCCCCCCCCCCAAAGAGCACTGTCCCAGAGGCCGAGGAAGGGGACCGAGCGCTTGCCGCACCTGCCAGCCCGGCGATCGGGAGGGGCCTCGGGCTGGGGAGCCGGCGGCGAGCGCTGGGGTGGGGGGGGTGGGGGTCGGGCGCCCCCTGCTGCGCTGCGCCCCGAAACCTCCGGCCGCCGCATTCCGCGCATTCCTTCGCGCCAGTCGGGTCTCTGCCTCCGAACCCGGGCGGTTTTTTCTATCTCCGCCTTGGAAGAGCCCTGCCCGTTTCCCTGCCGAGGCTCTGCGCCCCCTTGCCTGGACCTTTCCCCCCTCGGTACCCGGGGAGGTCAACCGGGGAGGCCGAGAGCGAAGTCTTTTTCTCGGGTCCTCTCCGAAGAGCGCCGGGAAGCGGCTGGCTGCGGGCGAGCTGGAGCTGGCGGGGCGGGAACAGCGGGGGGCTTTGTTCTCCGCAGTTGTTTCCTGACCGTTTGACCCATCAGCTGCTAGGGAAACGCTGCTGTTGACCTGAGGCTGAACTGCTAAGGCGATTTTGCTGACTTTTCTTTTGCTTCTCTAAGAGGAGCCCAGTTGCTCAGTCTTCTCCCTAAGCCCCCTCAGGAGAAATTGCTAGGGAGAATCGCCCGGATCACGCGACCCACGCGGTACCCGGAACCCTGGGTCAGGCGCGGGTCCCCCTGCCCTTTTTGGCCTATTGTTCCAGCCTGCCGGTTCTCCCCGAGTTGAGATCTCGCGGGTGGGAAAGGTGAAATCGTTTCGGGGTGACAGTCCCATGGGGAGCCCAGGATGTCCGGGGTTCCTCAGCTCTCAGATTGAGAGAGCTGAGCTGGGGCCCAGGCCTCCCAGCCCTGGCTTCGGGAGTGCTTCAGCCCCACGTGGAGTCACAGACTGTTTTGTTTTTCTTCCTGGAAGAAATCCGGAGGGGATCGCCCTGGAGCAGCAGCTGCGGGCCTTGATCCGGAGCCCTTTGGCTTCCTTCCGGGGAGCAGGCTCCGGGGCAGGCCGGGCGCCTGGGGAAGAGAGGCATATTTTTAAGGTTAAATAAACCTCATGGCTCGAGGCACTCTACCGGTCCTGATTCGGATCCGGAGACCGGGAGAACAGGCCAGTTCTGAGAGATGCTTCAGGGCAAACAGTGATGTAAGATCGGACAGGGCAGGTGGCCTCTGGGCAAAATGACAATCCCATCTCTAGTGAGTAGTCGGGTCCCTGCCCCGCAGAAAGGAAGAATTTCCTTCAAGCCGCACTTAATCTCTGCTTTCCACCTCCCTCCGTTATTGGCCTGGGAGGATCACCCCTGGCCCCTCAAAAGGCAAAGGCCACTCCCCAGTCCTGAGGTGGCGCTCATCTCGGCCTGGCTACAGGCCTGGACTGCTAAGTTTTCATCTGCTCAGGAACAGCTGTTAACGCACCTTTACCCCCGCTCCTAGCCAGAAAGAAGTTGAGCAGCCCTTAGGCTCTTGGAAGCAAGAGCCTAAAATGAGACTGGGGAAAAATGAATGTTGCCTCGTGTCTTGTAGAGGTAGTGGTAGCTTGCCGAGCTACCTCCCGGTCCCTCCGCTTCCTCTCTGCCAGCTATTAAAAAAGGCCTTGGTAGGGAGGGCAGCGGGGAAAATGTCTGCTCTAGGAAGCAAGCTCTTAGCCCTTCAGCCCCTGCCGGCCTAGGAAATGTGGCCTGGTGGGAGAGAATCACGGCCTAGAGCCGTGATAGGAAGCCTGGCAGGTTTGTTCTTAGTTATTAATGGGGTAATTTGGCTCAGCTGGGGAATCAGGGCCCCTCTTCTGCTGGTGGAGTAAGGGGGCCAGGCAGTGGGCTGATGGGAGGGAGACATGGTGGTTGTCCTTCTGGGAGATGTGGCCTCCCACCCCCAACCCATAGGTGCCTTTAAAAGAAATCTCAGTGTCTCTCTCTCTCTCTCTCTCTCTCTCTCTCTCTCTCTCGAAGGAGGAGGACTGGTTACTTGGATTTTTCACAAGCCAGGATTTAAAAGCAGAAATTAAATCTGGCTGAAGTATTGCTAATCTTGGTACATTTGCTACCATTGATCAAGTTTGGTCCAAACAGCAACTAAGATCTTACACTTCCTTTTTGTGAGTAAAAATCATGAGAAGTACTTTGAGCTTAAAATCCTATAAAATATTAGGGACAGTTTTTAAAATTTTTAGTTTTTTTCAGATTTTATCTCAGTTTATGTCTTTCAGAGTCTTAACCTCCATAAATGTTTGGGTTGGAGTTTCAGAATACTTGGCTCTTAAAAGGGGGAAAAATCCTACCCTAATAGAAATAATTCTTTAATGCCAGTATCACCAGTGTCACAATTAATCAATTACACACACACACACACACAAAATGATCTCAGCCTGGTGTGGTAGATGCCTGTGATCTCTGTAGATGGATTTCAGATTCTTGACCACGTGTCCTTTGAACAATTTTAACTTCCCTCTTGTCTAGAATTTACCTCCTGACCCCAGTTCTCATTCAAACCCAATTGCAAAGTCATCCAGGGGGCTGTTCTGAGCTATTGGGATAGTCATCTGGACGGCCCACTTTTTTTTTCCTCTTGGTTACCACCCGCCTGCCCTCAGGTCTTTGACCTGACACGGAATTGAGTAGGGTAGGAGTGGGAGGGGATGTCACTCAGCTCGGCTGGTGCCTGCTTGTCTCTTTCCCTGGTTCTTATCTCCTCCAGCTTTCCCAGTGCAGAGCTAGGGCTCTCCTCGGGGCATATAGCTCAGGGGCTTGCCTACATTTCCTACTTTGTGTACCCAGAGGAAGAATGACTGGCCTCTCTTCTGTTTGTAAATACAACACAACATGTAATGTCCCCTAAAGGAAAAGACTTGGGAGTGTTAGAATTGTAAAAGGATAAGTGTTGAGCAGGAATCCCAGGCCTAATGGCATTACAACTGAATGGAGAGAGTACAGCTTTGGCATCAAGTGAGCCGATGTTTCCAGTCAACAAAGGTTATAACTAAAGGCAGGGAGGAGGTGTCCGTGGATCTTCTTCTTGATCCTTCAGACTGTCAGAGCTTCTTGTAGGAAAAGGTGGTCACTAAAGAGCCAAGAAACCCCTTTAAATACTCCTGAGCCTGTAAAACTGGGTAGCTGTTTTCCTTACTCAGAGAGGTAGTTCTTGGCAGAGAGGGAATGTTGCAGGAACAGAAGCGAGCCTGCTGGACACAGCAGACCGGGTGGGAGGACAGGGAGGGACTCAAGAATCATCTAGTCCCCAAGCAGGGCCTTAGGGACGGTTCTCAACCATCCTAATGCAGTGACCCTTCCATACAGCTCTTCATGGGGTGAACCCCCAACCATAAGATTATTCTTGTTAATTCATGACTGTAAGTTTGCTAGTTAGGAATCATGATGTAAATGTCTGATGTGCAGGATAGCTGATATGCTACCCCTTTAGAAGGCCCTTAGACAACCCCCCTCCCCAAGGGTCGAGACCCCCAGGTTGAGAACTGCGGTCTAAGGAATTCGGCCAACTGGCCTTGGGAAGGACCGGAAGAATTGGGAATCCCAAGGGTCAAAAGTCCACTTAGTTTAGTAAAGCTTGAAGGCCACCCAGTTAAAATAAGGTTTGCAAAGGCAGATGACCTTCAGACAACCTTCCTTTCTGGGCCGAGCAAGACCTTGGCTTAGGTGGTCCTCGCAGTCAGTATTGATTGACAGCCTCATTAAGAGCCGCAGCTGTGGTCACCACCCCAGCAACCCCCCTCAGGGAACCCTGTCGTGTTAGTTATGACCAGCCCCAACCAGCTTAGCCAGGAGGCCCTCACGGCCATGGCTTATGCTCTGAAATGCTTTGCCGTGAGTGTGAAAGAATTAGAGGAGGAAGGCCTTGGAGCTAAACTGGAGGTGTAGCTGCTCCTCAGGCAAGCCCTGTGAAAGCCAGGCCTGATTTTTCCATTTCTGACTTAACAGGTCGAAAGGTAATAAGCAGGAGAAATAAACCTGCCTGTTTTATATGAGCCGCTGAGCCACACCCCCGGCTTCAGCAAGCAGATTCTTAAATAAAGACTTTTAAGAAGTCTGTTATGACATTACATGCAATCGGATGTAGGAAAAACAGGCTGGAATTCATTGGTATAGGTTACGAAATCTTATTCAGAAGATGCCCCATGCTTCAGAGATGGCCAGACTGACCAGCTAGAAGCATCGTGCTGGGCTTCCAACTCTCTCGGACGGGCGAGGGAGGTGCAGGGCAAACCTGGCGATTTTGTGTGTGGTGGAGTAAGTTTCCGATAAAAACGTGGTGGAAAAACTTGGTGGTCTAAAACGGGTTCTTTACTATGAAGGCTGTGGCCATGATGACACCTGCAAAAGGTGGGGCTAGTTAGGAGGGCCCGAGGGGAAAACACTTTAAGGCAGCTTTCCCTACACACTGTAAGAGAGAACACTGATCTGGGGATGGTGCTTTGTAACCCCATAATCCCTGCATGAGAAGATTGCCCCAGGTTGAAAGCCAGCCGGGGCTACTGAGTGGACCCCGTCTCAATAAGACCAGACTCATTAACTTTCCATCTTCCCAATCATGTTTTAGAACGTTGTACCACTCAGTTTGCCGTTTTGTTTGTTTTCTTTACTGAGACAGGGTTTCTCTGTGTGACAGCCCTGGCTGTCCCGGAACTAGATCCGTACGCCAGGCTGGCCTCGAACACCTGCCTCTGCCTTCCAAGTGCTGGCCTGGCTCAGTTTTGGTTCTTTTAAGGGTGGGTCATTGTCTCTAATGCCCACTGGAAAAGTCTGGGCACGAGCGCAGTTGTCAGGTGTCTTGAGTACGTGTGAAGTCACCTGGGGAGGACAGCAGTCCTCCCCAGGGACAGGCCAGTGTGAATGGACTGCAAGGCTGCTGAAGAAAAGATAACAATCGCCCGGGGGTGAATGCTGGTCCCTGCCATTAACCTGCCTGTGAGACCCCAGGCTGCTTTCTTGCCTGCTCTGTGTGTAACCCTGGCGCTCTTCACGCTTTCTGTTGGGCTCCTTGACACACAGGAAGTAGCCAGCCCCTGTTTGGGCTCTCTAGGTTTTAGGAACTCAGATACCTTGAGTTACGGAAGGCTTAACAGAGGCATGGCCATGTGAGGCCAGGAATTAATGGCTTCTTCCTCTGTGTGGGTGACAACTTACCTGTACTGGGCCTTCTGCACACACACCCCTTGTCCTCATAGCATCCAACCACAGCTTCCTTAAAGCCAGCAGCTTAATGTGTGTGTGTGTGTGGGGGGGGGAGTGTTACAAACCTCTCCCAGGGTGCCCGTGCCAGGCAGGCAAATCAGTCTGCCCGGAACTTCGTGCCAGGGGAGATTAATCACTTACCGATGGGGGGGGGGGGGGGGCTCAGGTCAGAGGATGGCGGGAGTAGGGTACACAGCTGATGACTCAGAAGGCTCAGATGTAACCTGTCTGCAGAGCTCGTGTCTCTTCCGGATCTTCAGGCCAGCCGGGTCCTGTGTGTGCCCCTTCCATGATGTGAAGGGTGGGAATGGGTCCTTTGTCTCTGAGGTCCACCTTTGTGACCGTGGAATCTGAGCCACAGTGGGTCAGCGCCACACTAGTTTTAGGTGCGGCAGGTTGTGCCTGTCTTCCGGGAGGGAAACTTTTTGCCAGGAACCACTGTTAACTTCGTTTTTTAAAAATGTTTTGGTTGCTTAAGTGGATGTCGATAGACTAGGAGACGGTTAAGGATTTGAAGGTTTACAGAGGTACACAGAGGGGCAAGTGATTCCCTTATCGATGGGGTGTTCAGCCAGCCTGTTTTTCCTAATGGGGGCCATGGACCGAAGGTTCTTGGCAGAGACCACAAGGGCTTTTGGTGACAGGCTTTTATTGCTCCTTCATCCCTCAGATTTTCATCTCTCCCTTTTTGGGCCACACTAAGAAAAAGGATTTCTAATGGGAGGGAGAGGGTACCCTGCCCCCTTGGGTGCTGTGACCACTGAGACCACAAACACATCCATAGCTGGCAGACCTGGGCTGCGGGCTTCCACCTCTGGAGGCTGATCACTGTGACTCAGCAGGAAGAACTTTGACCACAGAGATATCCTTTTCCATCCGGAGGGCGTAAGCAGAGGGCAAGCAGAGCCGCTGGTCAGAGAGGAAAAAAAATGGGTGCCCTGCTTCTGAAGCCTTGTGATGTGGCGAGACATTTCTCCTTTCTCTCAGAGGCAGCAGGAAGCAGCCTCCCAGGGTTGGAATTGAGGTTACATGTCAGCCCCTTCGGTGGCTGAATAGCCAGAGGGCACAAAGCCTTTCCAGCAGGGCCAGGCACAGGGAAGGAGCAAGCCACCTACCATTCTGTTTAGCCTGTTGTGTGGGTCTGTCCATGAGAGTGGTCGATCCCTGCCTTGTAGGCTGTATTGAAGTGGTATAGTTTCTGGTCCTGGAGGCCACCACAAAAAGGGGTCGTAGTTCGTTCTTCCCACACCTGCCCTTAGGCCCGTGTAGGACAGTGACCCAGCTGTACCAGATGACTGGCACTATCTTTCCGTTACAAAACAATTCCTTCGGAAGAGGATGATCTGATAGCCCTTGCGGAGCTCCTCCACACTCAGGTCAGAAAAAGCCTTCCTTGCCCCAGCCTGTGTGGCTGGAGTGGTTTGTGTGATGGAAGCTGGTTATCTCGTGTGTGACCTTGGCGGTGGAGGCAGTGCAGTACCAGTGTGCACCCGCATGGGGGTCTGGCCTCCTCTCACATCAGAAGGGCAAGAAGCTGGCGATGGCAGGACTCCTCACCAGGCCAGGGCACAACTAACCGGCTGGCTAAGTGCTCACTGCACATGGTACTAGAGTCCCCTTGGCATATCCGTGTGCATCTTCCTTTGCGTATTTTTATCTCAAATTGAAGACTTGGCCATGGCTTTCCCAAAGCCCCCAGCAACCTTCGACTTGCTCGATATGGTCCTCTGACCAAATAAACCTCTCCGGGGGAGGGGGAGGAAAATTTCTCGGCAGCCATTATCTCTAGACCTACAGCGCCACCTAGTGGTACTGACGGAGACAACAGCTCTCCCTAGCCTTGGGATCGTTCTTCCTCGCTCCCCGCTGGCTCTGTGTCTCCACTAACCTGAACCACTTTTCTCCTCAGGTGGCTATGAGAGGTTTTCTTCTGAGTACCCAGAATTCTGCTCTAAAACCAAGGCCCTGGCAGCCATCCCGCCACCTGTGCCCCCAAGCACCACGGAGTCCTTGGACCTGGGTTGCAGCTCGTGTGGGACCCCATTGCATGACCAGGTAGGTGTGGTACCCAGTTCCCTGGGCGCCGGGTTCAAGTCAAGAGAACATGAAGGAACGTTCTTCTGAGAGTTCCAGTTTTTCAGACTTCATACCTAACTCCTAAACTTGAAAACAGGGTGGCGAACCCCAAGTATCATGGTGGGATTTTAGTTCGGGGCTGTTTATTCCTGGGAATTAATTTCTTCTCCTTCCCTGATTATCCCTGGTTAAGAAAAGCCAACCAACCAGCCAACCAGCCTCTGGCCTAGCCTGTTTTGTTTTGTTTTCGTTTTGAGACAGGCTCTCCCTTTGTAGCCCAGGCTGGCCTTGACCTTATTCCATATCAGCTCCCCGAAGGCTGAGCTGATGGGCGTGTACCTATCATGCCTGACAGGTACGCCCCGGAGGTATGAGTGGCTGAGAGGAAGAGGCCTGCTTGGACCTGGCCATAGGGAGCTGGAGAATATTCTGGAAAAGACAGGGCCTTGGGATCACTTTTGGTCTCCCTCACCTACCAGCAAGTTATAAAATACCGGTGGACTTAAGAGTGCCAGTCAGTCCCGTTCCCCCCCCAAAAAAATCCGCTCATATCATTGCGCCTCAAGCTCATGGCCACCACCTTTCCAGTCAGACGGACTGGGGATGAAGTTAGAATCCACCATCTCTGCCCATCAGTCGTTATCTTTAGGACAGTGGCAGTATCTCATCGCACCATGATATCCTCTCTCAACATGTGTAGACACATCCAGCCAAACCGATCCCTAAACCACGCGACCATTGGCAGCGTGAACTCCCGGTGTGGGCTGAGTGTGTCTCACGGCCAGTGTGCAGCTTCCGCTGTCATGGACACCGCCCAGCCAGCATCCCATAAGACCTGCCCATACCTTGCCCCTGCCCGCTGGAGTCCCACTGAACTGGAGCTGGGGAGAGGCAGGCCTTAGAAAGCCTTCTTGGGTTGTCTTACTGTCTCCAGGACTCCCTCAGGCCTGGTGCCGCCACTCATGTCTTCCTGGGGTCTTTGTGCTTCTTTTCGGGGCAGGGGGGTCCCGTGGAGATCCTCCCCTTCCTCTACCTGGGCAGCGCCTACCACGCCGCCCGCCGGGACATGCTGGACGCCCTGGGGATCACAGCCCTGCTGAATGTCTCCTCGGACTGCCCCAATCACTTCGAGGGACATTTCCAGTACAAGTGCATCCCGGTAGAAGATAACCACAAGGCGGACATCAGCTCCTGGTTCATGGAAGCCATTGAGTACATTGGTAGGCTGCCTCCCCTTCCTCGGGGGTGCGAGGGGGAAAGCCGGCGAACGGCGGGTGGGGATTTTAGGCTTAACGTGCAGGCGATGATACTCGCCTTGTACTTTCCCGTTGCCGCGCCCCAAATATTTGATTAAAAAAAAAGGCAACTTAAGGGGAGAAACTGACCTGGCTTCTCGACCATTCACCTGCTAGTGGCGGTTCCAGAAGTCCACCAGGGTCCCTGATCATGTCCTCCCCTCTGCCCCAGATGCAGTGAAGGACTGCCGGGGCCGAGTGCTGGTTCACTGCCAGGCCGGCATCTCAAGGTCTGCCACCATCTGCCTGGCCTACCTGATGATGAAGAAGCGCGTGAGGCTGGAGGAGGCGTTCGAGTTCGTCAAGCAGCGCCGGAGCATCATCTCGCCCAACTTCAGCTTCATGGGACAGCTGCTGCAGTTCGAGTCTCAGGTGCTCACCACGACCTGCGCCGCCGAGGCCGCCAGCCCGTCGGGGCCGCTGCGAGAGAGGGGCAAGGCCACGCCCACCCCCACCTCGCAGTTCGTCTTCAGCTTCCCCGTGTCTGTGGGCGTGCACTCGGCCCCCAGCAACCTGCCGTACCTGCACAGCCCCATCACCACTTCCCCCAGCTGTTAGGACCAGCCTCGGAACCAGTCCAGGGTCGGCCACCCCGCCAGGGCAGTGGGAGCCACATGTAGGCAGCGAATAGGGACTGGCCAGTGGGGGACCAGGTGACCCATGCTTTGTCCTCATTCGTTTCTCTTTGGCCAACCACAGGGCCAGCTAGAATGGCAATAACGACTTTGAATACACGTTAAACAAACAAACAAAACACTCCAACATAGAGCAATAACGGCAGCATCCGCGGCCAGGGAAGACTTGGTTTATTTGTCAGTTTTTACTTTGCAGGTAGAGATTTACCTCATTTTTTTTTTTTTTTTTTTTTTTAAGCAGTCAAGCTTGAAGTTATGAAACCCACAGATCCTGGCAAATGTGCCCAACCAATTTTATCAAGTGGAGAGGGAAAGAAAAGTGGAGAAAACGCGGTTGCCGGAAGTGCCTGGTTCTGTGTGCTTGTTCTGTTGTTGCATTCATGGGAGTTTTGTTCTAGAACTTCCAGGCCACAGCATTTCACTTCTCTTTAGTCGACAACTGAATAATGATGCTTAACGAATATTTGAGAACTTCTTCAGGACGCATGTGCGGGAGTTTGGTGACTTGGCAATGTATCTCTGTTGAGGTTACACAGTAGAGCCCCGAAACCTCACACAGGTGTGCTAGCAACAAGGAAGTGAGAGGGCAGTCTGTGGGTCTCTGCCAGGCACCGTGATCGCTGTCATGCATTGTTGCCGCGGAGAAGCAGGCAGGGTGACGTGCAAGAAAAAAATGTCTACGGCAGGTCGCTTTTACAGCTGGTTCCTGGGACCACCATAAGCTTGCCTCTCCAGTGGTCCATTGGCTGTGGCTAGAGCATCTTCTTCCAGCTTGCCTAGGATTTGGATATTGTCTTTGATAAACACCATCTTATCTAAGGTGCTCCTGGAAAACTGAGTGCAATTCAGATTTTCCTACGGTGAATCATTTGGCAAGGCGGTCATCAGAGCCAGATCACTAAAGATGAGCTAAAAACGAATGAATCCCTTTGTGAACTCACTACTGTCCTTTCTCTTGGATAAATCTGGAGTTTTCTGTTTTAGGAATTGACTTGAAGCATACCAAGAAATTCTTGTTATGAAATCCCTGTCTGACAAGTGAGTATGTTCAGAAGCCCTCCTTTGAATAAAAAGAGGTTTGCCATGACTTGGGGCTCCTAAAGTCTGGAAGGGGGTGAGAGCGCACCAGGGGAAGGTTCTCGGGAGCCATTTTGGGTTCTGACTGGGCTAACACAATTTTTAAGGAGCCTTTCCAACTGGAGGAATGAGTGTGTTTTCTAAGGGGAAGGCTTGGGGTGGGGTGGGGAGGGAACGTGTTTTTATCTGTAGTATTGAGGAACAGTATTGTGATGGAGCGCCAGCTTAGAGGTCACCGCAGACTTGTCAGAAACAAGAGCATGGTTTTTCACCCTCTTTGGGAGCCTAGATCTCCGTGGACATTCTTGATCCCACATAAATAACTTCAAGCCTCAATGTCACAACCGTGGTGGAACGCTCTTTCTTGTCCAAAACCCCAGACAGCCCGGTTCGTGACATTTGCCTACATGAACTGTGAACCTGTGTTGGCATATCTTGTATTGGTGGCCTGTCACCCTGCCTCTGGGTGAGTTCAGAGTCCTCACTTTGTGTTTTTGTTGTTTTAGAGAAGTGAGGGTGCCCTTCCTCCCTGACTGCTGTGTTGGCTGCTTTGGCTGAAGGCATGAAGGGGCTGAGCTCCCAGTTGGTGGGGCCCATTAGAGACTGCCTAGTTGGATGGTCCTACTTTTTTTCCTCCCCTGCTTCCTGGCAGCTGTTTCATGTGTGAAGAATTTTAGGATGAGTTTTTGTAGCTAGACAAGTCCTGGGTTCCAAGAATGTAAGGTTTTCTGGAGGACAGACAGCCTTTTTATATGAGTGTGTTTGCCAAATGTGTCCTAGTTCCCAGACTGGATCCCAACCACACAGGCAGTGGGAGCTCCAAATATCCTTCCCTGCTTCCTAATTCAAACCACCTATGACAATGTCAAGGGGCTATTTATAAAATCATTTTCTTTGTACTTGATAACAGCATGACACCCAAAACTCTGAGAAGGAAAATAGGACATTAGTTTGGTTGAAAGGAAGATAAAAAGTTGTGTGTGTGTTGGGGTGGCGGGGTCACCTTTTAAAAACGGTGACTGTCTCTCCAGAAGCTTCTTTGAAGGCTTGGTCTATCTCCAACCAAGACAGTGTCCCATCCATGAACTGATTGCTGGTGATGGGAAGTTTTGCAGTGTCGGGAAGCTGTTGAATATGTGCCAGAGAATGAGGGACACTTCCAGTTTCCCCGGGAGTCTTGGCTCCATCCGTGGGTGTTTTGGGGAGTTGAGAGCTAAAGCACAGGTGAGCAGGTGGCTAGCAGCCCTCAGCTTCATTCTCCCATCCCCACCCCTGTGCCGAGAACTTGTACTCTGGCTTTCAGTACTTGGCTTTCAGTAAGGCTGGGGAAGCCATGGAAAGAGGTTAAGAGTCCTTGGGAAGGTGGTAGGAAGGGAAGATGGATGGTTAGTCCCAAGGGGAAGGGACTGGGCAATAGCTTGGAAGCCTGGAGTAATGATAAGATAGTTCATATTGGTGGTTCATCACAATCACCTGGGCAACCTTGAAAATTCTCATAATCTGGGTGGCCCTTGACCAAAGAAACCAGGACTTTTGAGGGTGGGACCCAGACACCAGTGTGTTCCAGTGTTCTAGGTGCAGCCAAGTTTGGAGATGCCATTGCTCTCTCTGGATGGTAAAATTCTAACAAAGGCCTGGTCTTGTTAACACACAGCCAGCTTGTGAAACAGGAGTCCCCATCAGAAGCTTTGTCAGAGGGTCGTTGTGGTCCCACTAGCCACAGCTGGCCGAGGGGGTGAGTTGGTTTCTTTGGGGGAGCCCCTGAGTGGAAACCAATTTGTGGAGTGTTGTGAGTGGGCCCCACATAGTGTCTGGGTGTTGATGTATTTCTCTAAAGTTTGTTTCCAAGAAAGATGGAGAAAGTCTGTGTTTGTTTTCAAGTCCTGCTTTCCAGTGCCCTGCTCCTCGGTTCATGGATCACTCAAAGAACTTCAGAAAGATATCAATGCAATACTTGTAACTTGTGTAAATAAATAGCCCCATCTTTCTGAGTGGTGTCATTTCTACATTTGATATGCTTGTATTTCTGTAGGATGTACATAGTTTAGGGGATTTTTGTTTTTTAGAAGTCAAACATGTCTGTTTTTATTTATTGCCTGAAAATGATCATTTGAAGAAAAATAAATACATTTTCAACCATGTCTGCTTTTGTGGACTCTTGTTGGAAAGCATCCTGCTTTTGGAGCTTGGGAGGGGCGGGAAGGAGCTTGGGTCCTCAACTAATCGGGCCTCCCTAGTAGTACCTGCAGTGGAGACCAGCTGATGGAAGCGGAGTATTGGGAGGCAGGTAGAGGGCTGGTGACCACAGTCAGAAAGAGCCAGTGGTAACGGCTTGTCTTTCCCAAGAGGACCTACTATAGGAGTGTAGGAGTTGACGATGAGGATGGTTCGATGGAAGAGCCCAGTGTCAGCAAACATCAGCAAAGAGGGCTGGAATAGAAGAGTGTACACAATGTACATTGTCTGAGGCCCCAGTTATGCTTCAAGGCTAGAGTGAGAAAGTAAGCTAGTGGTTATGTAAAACCTGATTATGGAAGACACACCATTTTTTATCAGTTTCCATTGGTGTGGCTCTTCCAAATTGTAAACTAAAACCTACTTTCCCACTGTATCATAATATCTTGGAAACGTCAATCTAATAAGAAAATTCAGTAGTTAAAAAATTATGGGGGGAAAAGTCCCTTTCCTATACAGAAATGCCAAGTAAAACAAGAATTTACAATGAAAATGTAAAGATAAGATGCCCACAGTAAACTAGCAGCGACGGGCAACAAGCTGTATATAACAGACAAGAGGTAACAAACGTGTAGAAAACAGCGCACTGCGTTCCTGGATAAGGGCCTGGTCACAATTCCTAAGGTAACATGGTTCACAAGATCTTCATCAGCAAGATTAGGGGAAGAACATGTCATTCGGGGAGGGAATCAAGGTAGGGCTGTCTTAAGTCTACTTTGCTGTGTGGAACAGACATAATCTGCTGTCGCCATATCCGAACTGGTTATTAGCCAACCTAGGCCTCTTACTATCTCATGAGCCCTAAAGATCTGTATTTATCCGACCTCCATAACAGCAGGGCAGGGTGTGGGGGAAGGATAGCCGCTTTGTAGTCGAACAACAGGAGAAATCTTAGTTTTGAGGCAGAGGGACTTTGGTTTCAAAGATTGAGTTGTACAGTATTCTGCCTGAATGTGTGACAGCAGGCCAGAAGAGGGCACCCAGATCTCACTACTGATGCTTGTGAGCCACCATGTGGTTACTGGGAATTGAACTCAGGACCTTTAGAAAGAGCAGCCAGTGCCCCTAACCTCTGAGCCATCTCTCCAATCCCAGGCAAAGGGACTTTACTGAATGGAAAACAGTAAGTGAAATATAAAGTCCTGAGTTGTCCAGTTGAAAAAGGGGGCTCATGTGAGAGACGTTTTTAGGGAGGAAACAGAATCTATTCAATAGACCCAGTATTGCTAGAGAAGAGCCTTGAGAAGCAAGCTATCCCAGGAGCGCTTGTCTCCTAGGAACCACAGCTCCAGGAGCCAGTGTCCAAGCTGCCACACTCTCGTCTAGAGACGCCCACCTAGCGAGATGGCTCACATGAAGCTCTCCAAAAGCCTGATGACCTGAGTCGGGTAGGAGAGAGGCGACTCCACAGAGCAGGTCGCCGACCTCCACATGTGCACCCTGGCATGCCCGTGGGGCACACAGTGCACACTGGTACCTTCCAAAAACCTGGTAGGCACAATGAGAAGCCAACTTTCTCTTGGTCACATGCTGTCCCCACCCGCTCATCCCCCAGCAGACCCCCCCCCCCCGTTGATTCATGGAGATATCCATTCCTCCTTATGCTTCAAGGCAAACTGGCTTCACCGAGGGCAGGGGGTCAGGCCTGAATTACGTGTTCTACCCAACCTGCTGCACCTAAGATGAAAGTCTCAGACTACCTGAGCCACACTATAAGCTTGATGTACATGCTCAGACTAGCTGGTAGGGTGTTTTTTGATTATTATTATTATTATTGTTGTTGTTTGGTATTATTAAATCCCTAGAACTTATCACATTACTGTTTCAGTAAGGAGCAACTGGAATTTGAGGGCGATGGTTGGGGTCTTCGGCTGTTTTATGGACTTGCTTTCGTCTAGCCCACTTCCTAGCCAATTGTGCCTTTTCTTGGGGGCCAAGGAGCGAGGGCAGAGACAGTTTTCAGATTGAATAAAAAAGGCCATTTAGTTATCTCATAAACTATGAAATGGTAAGAATTCTCATTTTAGAGGTAAGAAGTTGAGCGACTCAGCACATCCTCTGGTTAGCAAGCTGCAGAACCAGGCTGCGACTCCAGATGGCAGAGCTGAGGCTCACCTTAATCCTGAAGTATTTCCGGCAGATCAACTGCACTCATTTCTCACTGTCCTAAAGAGGCAGGGTAGAAAGGCAGGACAGCCAGCAACAGAAATGATCAGCCCCCATTCCTTTGGAGAGAGAGAGTGCCGAGAGTTAAGAATTTCAATATTCCTGGCCAAGCCGCTGCAAGGCCACTATATACTCTATACTCAGAAGAAACAGCCTTGAATGAGGCTAAAACAGACAATGCATTGCTCTTAGGGTCGAAACATGTCTTACATCCTTCTGACATTATAGTTCAATTTTATCAGCACTCCCCGCTCACCCATAAACTGAAACACACCTCATAAAACACCTAAATTCTCATTTACGAAGAAAAATTCCTTTAAGTGAAGTAACTTGCTGTTCTGAGCTTCTCTTAATCTTTAAACTCACAGATAACATCCTTTGAATGATGTGCTTCAAAAGCCACAATAGTCATAGAAGAGACTTCAGCGTGCATCTTTAATGCCTGCACTAAAGCATCCACTTTGTCTCTGGGTGTGCCCTTTCCTGCCTTCCAACTCTTTCCTGTTGTGTAGGTCAGGATCCCCGCTGCACCCGAGTCTCTGGGAACTCCTTAGACTGCACAGCCCACCATAAGGAGTTGCCAGGAGACACTGGCACTTCCAAAAGTATTCAGATTGTACCACACCACAAACCATGCAGGTAAAACCACTGAACAACTTTTGCAGACAGCCTTTCCACCTAACAGGGTAGAGGCAAACAGTGTTCATAGGACTTGCTTTGAAACTCTGAAACAGCTGTGTGGTATGCCCTGGTTTTCTCCATTTTCAGCCTCCCCAGAGCCCACAGTCCTGACTCACACCAGTTTCTTCACACTTGATGCTTTATTTGTTTGCAGAATTGTAAAGCCGACCAGCCCAACAGTATAAATTAGTTCTATGCTAGGAAGAATGTAAAAGAAAATTATTATTATTATTATTATTATTAAGACAGGGTTTCTCTGTGTAGCCTTGGCTGTTCTGGAACTTGCTTTGTAGACCAGGTTGGCCTCAAATTCAGAGATATGCCTGCTTCTGCCTCCTGAGTGCTAGAACTAAAGGCGTGCACCACCACTGCCCAGCACGTCAAGATTTTTTCTTTTAAACAACTTGTCAAGATCATAATAAATCTAACCGAAATAAAGTCCATGTGTTCCATACTCACTGGCTGCACTAGCTTTTAACTTTTGTTAATTCTAGATTTGTGTGCTCCTTTAGCGTGTTATGATTATAAAACTAGGGCAAACTAGGCCAATGGTAAAGGTTTATAAACACTCTGAGCAGAACATGCTGGCTTTAATCTGGCACACTGGGTCACAATCACTACAGCACTGTAAGCAACAGAAGTTTAAAAAGTTCACACTGACAGCATTTAATCCCCGCACTTGGGAGACAGAGTCAGACAGATCTCGGAGTTCAAGGCCAGCCTGATCCACAGAGTGAGTTCCAGGACAACCTATCTTGAACTCCTCCCTCCCCCCAAAAAAGTTCATACCGGGGATGTAGCTCAAGGTAAACAAAGTGCCTTCCAAGAATGTGCACAGCCTACTCCTACCCCCTTTCAAAACTGATGACTAAGAAAATGCTTCTCTTTATATTCATGGGATTGTTTTGATTGTAATTTCCTTTTAAAAACAAATCCAATCCACTTTAGCAAGTGATTTAAAAAAAGAAAAAAAATCTGTGTCCCTGCCACGCATCCGCTGTGAGGTGGACAAGGGAGAGATGCGTCCCCGTCCCGCTTCACCCGTCATCACTGAGAGAGCTGGCCCCAGCCCTCAAGGCTACAGCATTCCGTAGAGTGGGCCGCACCTCAGCTAGTCAGGATTGTAGAGCTGGCTCTGGTGGCAAGGGTGTGGGTGCGCTGCTTCCAAAGATAGGAGAGCAGAAGAGCTGGCCCTGCCCTCCCAGAGCTGCCTCACTGGGTGAGCTAGCCAGGACTGTGCTGGAGAGTTCCCCCTGGTGGTGTGGGAGGAGAACTGGCAGGCTGACCATCTCAGCCACCACCCTGAGCCAGATCCGGAGCTCTACCGCCTCTATGAGCTGACGGACCATGTGAAGGGACTGGTCCTGCAGATCCGAAGCTGCATGATCTCCATGACACAAGGCAACAAGAGGCTATCACACCCGGTTGAGAATCCAGTATTGATAGTGTAAGCAGAAGCCAGAGGCCTTGAAGCAGACCAACGGCTTATTGCAAGTAAAGATGCGTAAATGAAAAGGTACACGGTGGGTACCCTGTGACACACTACAGCTTCCCCAACAAGATGGTTTTTGTTTTCTTTTTTTTTTTTTTTTGGGGGGGGGGTTTCAAAGGTGGAGGGTGGATATGAAGTGATGGGGAGATGAGAGGGACTGGGGTGTATGATGTGAAATTCACAAAGAATCAATAGTAAGTAAACAAACCCTTGTGTGTATATACATACGCATGCATTCATGTGTGTTAATGCCATGATGCTGCGTGTGAAGACCGAAGGGCGACTTCCAAGCGTTGATCCCCGCCTTCTACCTTGAGGCAGGGTATCCTTTTCTCCATCCAAGAGGCCCTGTGAGCGTCTGTGGGGTCTCCTCTTGGGAGCACTGGCATTGCAGATTATTACTGCCTTCACCTGGGCTCTGGGTATTCGAAATCAGGGCCGCACTACAGCCTGGCAAGTGCTTCCTTCAGTCCTAGAAGTGATTCAGACCCTCTCCGCATTCCTGTCACGCCCCCACATAGGATCAAAGCACAGAACGGCTGCAACTCCACACTGTTGACTTCATGCTCTACCCGCCGCCTCATCTCCTCCATTCTCTTCTTGGCGTGTTCAACCTGACCTGCATGACAGAGATGCTGATGATGACCCAGTGGCACCTGCTGTTCTGTTTCTGAGAGGCTTCATCTGTGAAATGGGGGGTGAAAAAAAGACTTCTTGGGTGTATATGATGAGTACACAGAGCTTGAAGAGAGACAAGTGTGTGCGTGGGGGGAAGCACTAACAAAAACCCCTGAAATCGAAATTTCTGTACTTTTACCATCTGGCCGTGACTACTCAGAGCCTGACCGCTACTGGCCAATGGCACCTTTCACAAATGGCCAGTCTCAAGAGAAAAAACTCAGTGCTGTAAAATTTACCACCCAGAAAGATGTTTGCCTGGATATGGACCCCACACAAATGGCCCCGAGATCTAGTACTTCATTATAAAAGCATTCCTATATACTCCCTCAGCTCACAATTCCCTGCTTTGCTTCTACTCCTTGACTGCTTGCGCCCTGGGTAAATTCTTTAAAAGCAGCTGCCTTCACAAACCCACTCTGAGCCTCTTACAGGTTCACAGAAACTAGAGTGCTTCCAAGCATTAATTTGTGCTTGTAACCGTGCCAATTCTTATGGTGAAGTTATGGATACACATCTTTGTTTAAATTTGCTACCTAAAAGGTGTGGAGAAAGAGCATCAGTGAGAGATGGGGAGGTTCTTTGTTTCTTGGGGTCAAGGTGGATAGGTCTTCGCATGCAAACCAGACTGGCCTGAAACTTGTGGTCCAGCTGCCTCAGCATCCTAAATGCCTCAACATCCAGATCTAACAAACTTGCTCAGCTGTTAGATCTTGGATGTTTCCCTAGGCATGGGCAGAACCTTTCTCCTCCAATCCCCCTGCCTGGGAGGACCAATGAGTTGCTCTCAGGGTCAGACACTGAAGACAATGACCCTTTGTTTAAGACCCTTTTCTTGGTTCTCTTCCTATTGCTGTATGTTCATAGCTCTCACATGGGCTATTGCTGTATTTCTGAAACAGCTCCCATCTGGACTACTAGGTGATAAGGAGCTTTAAGCTCGGGTCTCAGTAGGAAGAGGGAAAGGAGAACTGTTACATGAATCTTGACAAGTTTAGGTCAGCTGTGCTATGGATGGTCAAGCTGACATGAACAAAACAGGACAAAGGAAACACTTAAGAGCCGAATGTTATACACACACAATGTACTTTAAAATGTTTTTTTTTTTTATTGAATATTAATCTGTTACAAGTACTGTGAGTTAGACATTAAGCCAAAGCACAATTACAGGTTAAATATAATCACAGAGATGTTCAACAGAAACCCACCACGTAGGCTGGGTGAATTCCTTGATGCCCCCTTTCAGAAATAGGTAGAAGGCAAGAAGGAAAGAAAAACAGTTTCATTCCAGGTGAAAGCTCTAAAGACGGAGGACTTGCATGCAGTTAGCATCCTTTTGTGATCAAACTGCTGGGGCTACCAGACTTAGAAAACTACGAGTAAAACAAAAATCGGGGTCATCAGTCAAAATCTGAATTTCAGGTAAGTTAATGAACATTTAAAAAATGCACAGATATGTCAAATATTGCATGAAATATGCTTGAGCTAAAAAAAAAAACCTGCCTGAAATTCAAATCTAACTGGGCATCTTGTATTCTGTCTGACAAGCCTACAGATGGACAAATGCAAAAAAAAAAAAAAAAAAAAAAGAACAAGGTGTGGCTGGAACCCCTGCCACTGGTGGGTCACACAGAGACTGAAAACAAAAAGAACACTAACAACAAACCAAAGGGCCGCTACATTGGTTATTTACACAGAACGACATCACAGTAGGAAAATACAATCACAACTCCAAATGCTCCAAATGCCAGGAACAGTCTAGATTTCCTCAAAGCTGGTTTTGTAAGTTTTTGAGAGACCTTGTCAAAGTACCTTTTTAGTTTTGTAGATATCAAAGACAAATATTACTACCACGAAGATACGATGAGTTTAAAACACTGGGAGGGAAGCAGAAGCAGGTATTAGCACACACATAGACACACGCACACACAGACACACACACACATGAGGAGTTTAGTGTTTTGTGTAGTGAATACACTTACTATACAGCAAGGTCACCCTAATTTAGGTCTATGTTACTTCAAAAATTTCAGTTCCTTCCTTTCTTTTACTGTGGCATCTTCTAGTTTTCCTTGCTGGCCAATGGGAGAGGTTCAGATGTCACATAACCAAATCTGAGCTAACAAAGGGGATTTCAGGGCCACCTGAGAAAGACCAACAAAAGAATTCTGGAGAATGAGAAAAAACAACTCTGAAGGGCTGGTGGAAGGTTGAGGAGAGAGGAAGAGTATAGCAGAAGAGAGGGCGAAAGAATGAAGGGTCAAAACTATCTCTATGGTGTGACTTCTATCTCAATTTTGCAGAACTCTGGTGGAAGTATAAAACTGGCCATGCCCTGACCATACTGCATCTTATACAGGATATAAAATCTTCAGCTTCCTAGAGGCTTTAAGTTTCACATATCATAGTATATACTGTAAAATTATTAAAAAACTTCCATACCACTTAAACTCTACATGGTATCACATACTGTGAATCCCCACCCAAGTTCACAGGTTTGGAAACCCTCCTTCAAATCAGAAGATCTGGAGGCTGAAGAACTTTACATGGGAGAAACTGGACCTGAGTGGTTCCAGCAGCTCCACAGTGTGTGACAGGATTACTTATAAAATACACCCCCATAAAACACACTTACCAGGTATGAAACAGACATGCCCACTCACTGATACACTTCAAATACTAACAAATGAATTCATGTTTCACTGCTGGAATAAAAAAGGTTAAAAAGTTTCTGCCATAGATAAGGCTTTTTTAGCAAGAAAAATGTAATTGTCCATTAACTGTAGAACGCATACGTTGGCTAAAGAGGCCTCACTTTTTATGTTTTTTTTTTTTTTTTTTTTTTTTTTTTGTGAGACAGGGTTTCTCTGTGTGCCCTGGCTGTCCTGGAGTAACTCTGTAGACCATGCTGGCCTTGAACAGAGATCCACCTGCCTTTGCCTCTCAAGTGCTGGGATTGAAGATGTGACGTCTAGCTAGGCTGGTATTTCTTAAATCTTTTTCTAGCTAGGGTGGTATTTCCTAAATCTTTTTCATGTGCTAGATGTAGCTAGTAATAGTTCAAATATTAATTCTACAATTTCTCGTTTCCTTTTCACTGCTTTAATATCAAACGTCAGTCTTTAACTTTATGATACAGGAAAACCCATCTTAATGTCATTTTTGAGTATTTGGTGAGTGACTCTACAGTCTGTAGCTCTATGCAAGATGATCAGCCCAAAGGAAAACACAGTAAGAAGGCTGCCACACAATCAAGATCTGGGTACATGGTGGGGAGCCAGGATGAGGAGGAGATGTGCTTAAAAATACACAGCATTTTTGTTTATAGGGACCCAAACAACAAATGTTTAAAAGGGGAGTGGGACAATGTCTAATCACCCTTCATGCAACTGGGAGAATACGGAAATAGAGGAAAACATAGACAACTGACTGCAGTCTAAAGCTGTTTGATAGCATTAGCCAGAATGTTAGTTTGCAATAATATCTAGGATAATAACGTTAATGTGTGTTTCTTTGAGTGCCATAGTCAAGCCCTTCTCTATATATTCCAAATGCACCTCCCTACTCTGACAACAAAGAGAAATGAGCATAGTTGGCAACACAAAGCTCCGAGGAACCCAGGCTGCTTCATGAGATAATAATGTCAATCTACTCTCACCTCTTGGAGTTGTGCTATTATTTTGCAAAGAATGAAAACACTGGATGCCATGCTGCCATTTACTAGCAAACTGACAGAATCTTCTGAGCAGAAGGCAGATGAAGACTAACCCAGTTCTGGTTATGATATGAAAGTAACAGATACCTGGATTCCTCATGTAAGAGCCCAAATGAAGCAAGGCGACTGGGCCAAGTGCAGGAGAGAAGTGTCTGGCTGGTCAAACCTGGTAAACTGGCACCATCAGGTCTCTAGAAAAGGCTGTGGAGTTGAGGTGGGTAGAAACACTAGCCTTCTCTCTTAAGTTCTTTTGGGAAGCTGAGGAGTCCCAAACCTGTCAGCAGTTCTAAACCATGCACAGCCAGAAAGGAAGCGATTTCAGCTGAAGGCCATGCCTTTATACTCTAGAGGGCTCTTTTATATTCCATTTTGCTATACAAGGACATCACCCTTTTGCCAACTTGAATATACTCATGCCTCTGGTTTTCAAGCTCCGACAGTATCAGCTCTGCCAACCCACTCTTTTTAAACAGATCATATATGTGCATTCTGTCATGAGTCATCATGAGACCACCAGCACTGCAGAAGGCTTCCAAATACAGTGTCTACTCGGCACAGAACATCAGACATAGCACAGGTGCTTTAGTGAGCCACAGACTAACTTCTCAAGGTGAAGCCCACATTCACCTAGTTCATATGATGGAGATGACACAGCATACAACCACAGTCTGACAGTGGCTCATCTTTCAGGAGCTCTAAAGCTTTCCACACCCACACCACACTGCCTTGATCCTTAACTGAGGTCACAGCTGTGGTTAGCACTTTAAACTAATTCAAGCGGGGCCAAATAACATAGACATTATAGCTACTAATACTCCACAGATGGTAATTTCAACTCTTTGTTAACAGAAAGGAAGAGGAAAAAAGGAAAGAGGAAAAAGAAAAGCTCTTTGAGCCAACATCAAATTTTGAAGCTTTGTATGGAACTCTAGTCACTATTAAACACGCAGGCAAAAACACAAGTACCCAGCTCAGGCCACTGAAACTTCAACAGAATTGAAAACTGAGGCAAATTCTTGGTTTAATTTTGAGGAACCCATGCAAGATATACCTATAAAATTCACACTAGACTGGATGCCTAGTTCTAGCATTGGGCTCAAGCTAACAAAAATTAAATAAATACAAAGAAGAGAGAAGTGTGTATTTCGAGAGCCAGGGAAATGACAGTGGTCACAGTTTAATACTTATTTTTAAAAAGGTTAAAAAATGTTTTCAGGACTTCCAAGTGAAATGATTAAGTATGTCACACTGTTTTCCCTCTGTGTTTGTGACTTTTGCTCAAAGGTGAGTAGACGGATGTACAGCATGACTCTACATAAAGTAATGCACTCAACTCAGCATTCAGTTAGGGTCTGCAGAGCAGCAGGAGATGTGGCTCTGCTCAGCGTCCTGTGCACTTGGCGAATGTCCTCACAACAAGCAGTACTTTCACAAGGAAACCGTTTCTATCAGTGGCACTTAAAAAAAATAAGTCAAAGAGCCTTTGGTTTCAATTTTTGTTTTCCTTGTGTAAATATATTAGGAATTTGAAGAAATGGTTTAAAAATTGAAATAAGGGATCTTCTTACACTATTTGAAACATACTACTCAAAATAAAGGCCGAATCTGGAGTAAACAAAAGTCCTGCATGTGTGCACATGTATTACTTAGGGCTTGAATCCTGGTTTTCTAAACTAAGGAGAGAGGAGAGTAAGCTGTTGGGGACCCTACCGAAGTGCAACAGGTCTGTGACTTTGTAAGTGAAGGGTGACATCAGGGGTGACGATTCTGGCGGTCCAGATAATGAAGTATTTACTGAGACATCCACTCCCCCTCCTCCTTACCGGGGTCTTCCCTCCCAGCTCTTTAGTCATTTCACCAGGAAAGAGAAGCCACAACTGCCGTAGAACTCGGATGGCAGCGCTCTTTTGGCATCTGTAGCATGCTCCTGCGAACCCTGCAGACTACAAAGAGAAAATGGCTCACCAGGCTCTGACTTTCTAGGCCAAAGAGATGTTTGTACCCTGCCTTTTAAGATGTGCCACTTCATGAAAGGAAAGTAAATCTTGATGCTTTTCCTTTATGTTCACAAGAAGCAGAGATACAAAACAATAGGGACGTGGGAACAGTGTCTTGCTTGGCCAGAAGCTCTGGTTGCATTGCTAATAATTTTAGTCAGTGTGACTCTGTGCAAAAGATCCCAGGAAGACTCTGGCTCATTTTCAAAGTAACAACAACAACAACAAACAACAACAATGTATGTTTGGCAAAATTAAAAATGAGCCCACCACAAGTGTCTATCTGCTATAAATGTGCCAAACACAACAAAGAAAATGTAGTGTGTGAACCAAGAACATGTTCGCCGGCATATTCTCTTTTCCCGTTTCTACATCTCCAACAAAGTGTCTTGCTTTACAAATGGGTAACTGCCACGAAAATGAGCCCGAGACCTGTCAAGGCTGCAGTGAACATTTCCTCAGATGGAGCCGTGGCAGCGTGCTCAGTCACTCACGCCGCATCATCACTCTAGCAACACTTTATGAAAGACAAACAGCTCATTTCTTGGCTGTTGGGGTTTAGAGAATTGTTTTTTTTTTTTTGTTGTTGTTGGAAGCAATCCACTGTAATCCAGTCGCAGGTCTGAATCACTCTGGCCTTTAGCAGGGGCAATCACTAGGTCTTCTGCTCTGCGGCCGTTGCGGTCTGTGAAGGGGCTTCCGGCTTCATGATCTGGTAGGTGATGAGATATTCCGGATATGCCTGGAAAGGTCAAGAAGACAAACAACTCATGCCTGGAAGGTGTAGCAGTTGAGCCTAACTTGGGGTCAGGCTAGCCAACGTAATAAATCCGACCATCTGTAAAACTGTACAGCATTTCTACTTCAATCTATTTTATCTTGTAGTGCTGGGCATGGAACCCCGAGCCCGGCCCACATGAACCAAACACTCCGTCTCCCAGCAGCACCCTACAGCCTCAGCCTCAGGTTTCTGCTTTCAACACTGTAAGTTAGCTCCCTCTGTTCACCCTTTACTACAGTACCAAGTGGCACCCACAGGAGAACATCAGTATCTTTCCTCTTCACAGTAGGTAGTCGAGCAGCTTATTAAACCAAAATAATAATTCTACTGTCTAGAGCTCCAATCAACCACAAGCAATGTTGTAATCCACCAATGTACATGGGTACAATGAGGAAGGTCAGACATGTGGAGGCACCAAAAATCTACAGGGCAATAGTATGGGGGAACTGGAAGTAGGATGTTTGTTTCTTTGTGACAGGGTCTCATGCTAAACTCTTCTCACACATGCTCCATAGCTCTGGCCTGTCTTCCTGCCCCTGCCTTCATTGTGCTGGAAACCACCAAGCATGGCCAGGGGGGATCGCACCAACTGGCAAGCAGCTGCGATAGGAAAGGCAATGACGCATGTGTACACGCATTTGTCACCAGTCCTTATCAGTCTCTACCCTCCGGAAGTCAGTGAGACAGAAAGATCAGTTCTGGCGTGAGACTAGTACTTTTTGATGGGGAGGGGGAAAGGGAGGCTGCTCTCAGAGGAGGCTGTCAAAGATCTTACACCACTATGTGAACCCGCTAGAAAGCAGGGACGGAAAATCCCTTAGTGTGTGGACTACATATGAGTTCTTCAACCCTAAATGATGACAAAGCTAGACTCAGCATTTTTTTCTGAGTGGCCTGTGACTGAAGAATAATATTCCGCAATTGGGCAATGGGTTTGGGACCTCCCAAAATTTATGTACTACTTGCATCAAATACAAAGATTATCAAAGGTATAATAATAGTAATAGTAATAATAATAACTGGATTTTTTTTTTACATTTAAAATACAAAAAAATACAAGTGGTAGATTTACTGAGTTTGTTCTTTGTAAATTAGCACACTTCTGTCTGTGTCTTGGGTTTCCTTAGTTATAAATGGGAGCAGCAATACTGGGTTCTGGTTATGTTTCCCTGCTTGGTGATAATAAAATACCAAGGTCTCGGAATGGGACTGGTATGGTAAGAATACTGTGTTTGGCACTATTAACATTATTGCTACTGTTGTCATTCACTAGACTGTGTCTCAGAAAGAGGTCTCAGGACTTGAAGACCAAAATACATAAATCCACTTTAAAAAGTCCTGTCTATAGACATGTAAGCAACACTGTCATTCACAAGCCCCTCTCCACAGTCCCGTGCACTCTGGTCTGAATCTAAACCACTGACAGTTTCCATCAGTAACAACCAAACTGGAATGATGAGGGCCAGCAATGTCTCTGGACTCCTGAACCTGAAGGTGCAGTAACTACTCTTCTGTAGCTCTCTCTCTCTATTTTTTAAGACACGGTTTCTCTGTGTAGCACTGGCTGTCTTGGAACTCACTCTGTAGATCGGGCTGACCTGACAGAGATCCACCTGCCTCTACCTCCTGAGTGCTAGGATTAAAGGTATGTGCCAGAGCCGGCTTCTATAGCTCTTTGTAATTCACACCACTTGGTTAAATGGATTTAAAGAAGCATTTCGATTTTTAACATTAAAGCAAGCTGTTGCCGATACTTCTCCTTTACTGGCGGAGAAGGGAAGTACTGATCGGATGGCTTAACTGTTAGGGCACAATTCACTCAGCACTGACGCACACGTTTCAGGTGTCTCCCACGTGTGACATACGCAGTGTGAAGGAGAGCCTTTGCTATCAGTGCTCACCATCTGTCTGGGGATACAAGCAAGACAAACTGAAAGAAGATGTACAAGCTGTGCACAGCGGCACGTGCTGAGCGTTAAAACCCAGGGTAGCTCCTGCTCCCGCCGTCCTGGTGAAGCTGGCTGTCTCCACACTTGCTGTACCGCCTTCTCTTGCTTACAAAGTTACTTCACCAGGAGTGCGGGGTACCAGGGACCTCATTTTTGGTAGCATGGTTTAAAAGATTTCCGACACATGTCCACCTTGGTCAGACAGATTGTGAGATTCTAGAGGCATGAATTCCTGCAAGTTCCTCCTGTGAGGGCTCCAGGGCCGTGAGTAGGAGACAGGATAGATTGTGTGTTCAGTTTACTGATCAATCACACAAAGCCCAGAGGACTTTAAGGCAGGGAATCATTTGGCTGCAGGATTAGAGGCTAGAATGAACCAAAAAGCTTTATTACCCATCAGGTCACCTTAATCCACACTACTTACAAGAGTACAGAGTTTATAGTCTGTTTTAAATTCCTAAAAGTAACAACTCACTCTGGGTAACTCAGTGTCAAGAATCTCCACCCACATTTCTACTGAGAACTAAGAGATGTCATGCTTTCTTGAATGAGACTTTGGCTACTGGAAAACTACTTAAAAAAATTTATCTATCTATCTATCTATCTATCTATCTATCTATCTATCTATCTATCTATTATGTATGCAGTATTCTGCCTGCATATCAACTGGATACTGGAAAACTACTAAAAAAAAACCATTTATCTATCTATCTATCTATCTATCTATCTATCTATCTATCTATCTATCTATCTAACTAACTATTATGTATGCAGTATTCTGCCTGCATACCAGAAGAGGGAACCAGATCTCATTACAGATGGTTGTGAGCCACCATGTGGTTGCTGGGAATTGAACTCAGGACCTCTGGAAGAGCAGCCAGTGCTCTTAACCTCTGAGCCATCTCTCCAGCCCCAGAAAACAGTATTTTCCTCTCCACCTTCAATAAGCCAAAACTGTACAGATCATGCCAGTAAAATGGACAAAACCTTGATAGCATCCAATAACCAGAGAATCTCTTGCCTTCACATCTGATGTAGAGCATGAAAGTGAAACTCATACAGATATTGCTCCTTTGCCCATGCACAAGTGCTAAAAAGTGAAGCCAAGACCTTGTACATAAAGGCAAGTGTTCTACCACAGAGCCATATGCCAGCCTCTCCTGACATTTTAAGTCTAATCACATCGCAATTAAAGCTAATCTTCCTTTCAGGTATGTATCAATTTCATTGTACCTTCCAACCCTAAAGCAACAATCCCATTCAGAATATCCCCCCCTGACTGAAACATTTATGTGTTCTTGACAGTGTTAAGCATTAAAAATCAAGTATGATTTAGTAACTAGGGAGAGCAGACAGATCAGGAGAGGAAAACTTTCTAAGCCCAGGGAAAATCGATCATGGGAAACAATGCAATTAGCAGATGCTGCAGTTGGCATGCCCCCTGCGGAGAAGCGCACCTGGTTCGGAGACAAGCCTCTCCCTGAAACACAGTAAGTGCATCTCATTTTTAAAGGCACTCCAACATTCTCAACAGATTTGTTCCATCATTCTTTAAAATCCTGTTAGGAGGAGGCTCGAAGCAAGTTACCAAATTTAGTTTTTCATTTTTTAGGGATAGGGTCTCTGTTCCTCAGCCTGCTGTCCAGCGTATGATGGCCCTGTCTCAATCCTGTCCCGACTGAGGAAGGTCAATTTTGGTTAGCTGGTCAAGCTCGTCCCTCTTTCCTCGCTGAGTGATTATAGCCTCCTTTCCCTGTAGCTTTGCAACAAGCATGCAAATATTCTTCTCTAAATTCGGCATCCATTCTTGCTTGAGCTAATTTTTGCCATGATCGTATGCAAATGGATTTTTCCAACTCCAGCCTGCCTCCCACTTCTATTTATAGTATTCTACCCTGACCCAACAAGTTCCCCTTGTCGCTCATTCATCAGTAAAGAGTAATGAACTACCGTCCCACTGCCCCCCAGTTCAATACTATATTTACTTTGGTGTGCATATTTCTCAGATTTGGCCAGGGGAAGCTCCCTCAATGACTTTTAGGTCCTCTCTATGCCTCCACATTTTCCTTCCTGAGTACTTCATTACTTTTTGGTAAAACAAGGTATTTGAAGCTTATCTTGTACCTATTCTGTTCCAACCCTGGTTCCTTCGAGCCAGGAATGGTTTGAAGGGTTGGGTTCTAGCTTTTCATGGCTACTGGGGTGTCTTTGCTTTCAGCAAGAGTTAAAACATATAAGTGCATATGTACTTAAATTTATACATAGATTAAACATACATGTATGTACACAGATATCTATTTATCTATTGATATATTTGTTAGAAACCACAAATTGCTGTAAATCAATGCAACTTCAGTACAACATTCATTTTTCTACGCCAATTCTCTCATTCCACGTGGCATGCCTTCTTCTGCAGTAAGCCATAGTTCTCTGAAGTTAATACACCTATGCATCTATTCACTTGCTCAAACCTGGAATCTGTTGTTTTACACATGCTAGCACAATAAACAAACTTAGAAAAGAGGAGATCATGCTATTAGCAATTCTTCCCCAACTAAACACTCTTCTCTGTCCAAGAACACAGAAAAAAATATTAATTTTATATATTATCAGTCGTTACTTTCTCATATTTTCCTTCTATTTCAGGCTAGTTATAGCTTTCAATTAAGGTTAGAAAAATTGACTTCTGCATTCAGACAAACTGGGTGGCAATTAGTGCTGGGAGTTGAGGGCTGGTGTGAAGACTCCTGAAAGTTTACTTATGTATGTATATATTTCTCGATATAAACAGTTCCATTGTCTTCCAATTTCATTTTGGAGCTTCAAGACGGTGGCAGAATTAAATCATCCACAGTTTTCTGACTCTCAAGGCTGCAGGGCTATGATCCTACGGCAAGCAGATCCATCCAAAGCAAGCTGTGCCTGCAACAACTGAAGATGCTGTCTTAAACATGGCTTCCACTTTTTAATGAATATGTTTAGTGACCTCCTCACACTGCCTTGAAGAGCAACATACCTGTTCTCCTCTGTAGATGACATATTCAGCATACGCCAGCCCATTGACACTCGGTCTACCAATAACGGAGTGGTGTCCTGGAGGCGCATGGGCCATTTTCATGGTGCTAAACTGCAGAAAGGACTTGCCAAGAGTCACTCTACAGAAAAGCATTTGTCTAAAGGAGAAATAAAAGCAAATATTCTCAAGAACACTGGACATCTTAAAATGTAACCACTAGGTTTACTAGCTTCTAAAAAGAAATTCACGCTAATTTAAATGCTACTTTCAAGTCTGTGTTTAGTAATGGGATAAAATTTAATACACTGATTTACTATTTAACAATCATCAGGCTCAATATCAACTTAGACCAACAGTTTGAGGCAGTTTTAGAGTAGTGTAGGAATCTAGCATAGAAAACACCTGGTACAAGCTGTGTCAAGTGCTAACAGATACAATACAGGAAGAGTTTTCACATAAACACATAGGAAGAAAGGAAGCAGATGGGAAGAGGAGCTGAGGTTAATATCGTTGTCAGGTGTGTTTGTGTGCATGTAGCATGCACAGAGGGAGGAGGGCAACCTCACATGCTGGTCTTGGCCCTACCTTGTTAGAGACAGTTTTTGTTTTTTTTGTTTTTTTTAATGTTTCTGCCTTTGTGTAACAGACCGGCTGGCCAAGAGCTCCCAGGGAAGCTGTAGAAGCGCTGCACTCACCAACACTCATGCAACAACATGCATGCACATGGCTTCTACATAGATCATGGAAATTCAAACTGAGGTCATCATGCTTGCAAACGCTTTTGACCCTAAGACATCTCCCCAGACAAGATTAGGCTTGATACGTCCTGGGTAAATAATAAGAACTGGTATATGATAGACACAGTAATAACAAAAGTGGGTCACGAACAAAAATACTTCGCTTAAATATGTGACTAAAATTAAATGCTGTATAGGATAAGAAAAACTGGTTGGATGGAAATGATAAACTATAGCCTTCAGTTTAAAACTAGCTGGCACCTGGTTTTATAAATACAATTTTACTAGAGTAAAGCCATGCATTCATTTACACAGCTGCTTCTGCACTCCAAGGGCAGAGGTAAATCTCTGACAAGGATTCAGGATTGCAAAGCCCAAGGTAATTATTACCCAATCCTTTAAAGAAAAAGTCAACCCTTAAACACTATGTATCTTGACTAATTAGTATAATTAGCCACATTGTTAAACATAAACAGTTTGTAGTAACTGAGTACGATCTTTGCATTATTCCTGAGTCCTGCCTGGCTGGCTTTTTCAGCTGGATGCCACTGGTGAGCCTTTGGGATAAAGGTGTGGTATCTATCTTGTTTTCTTGTAGGTTTTGCAGAAAAAAAAAAATTTAAAAAAGGTTTCATTATAAATTAGGAAGAGGCTTTATTTAATTGTTTTAAAGTTTCATTTTTATTTTATATTTTATGAGTGTTTTACCTACATGTATGTTCGTGCCTGGTACCCATAAAGGACAGGATAGAATGGAACTTGGAACTAGAGTTACAGATGGATGTGTGCTACCATGTGAATTGTGGAACTGAGCCCAGGCAGTCTGCAAGAGCAAAAAGTGCTCTTATCTGCTGCGCCATCTCTGCAGCCCCAAAGAGGCTTCCTCAGCTCCATCTTTAATGCCATGGCAACAGAGTGTTGTCAGTGGATTGTCCTTCTCAATCTGTTGAATGATACAACACTTGACCTGACAGGCCTCAGCTTCCCATTTTCTGCTTTCAGGAGCAGACCTCATCTGCAGGACTTACTGAGTCAGTGTATGAAGATGCTGGTGCTGGCTTGCTTCATATTTGTAGTATTGTGCAGGTGAAACAGCTAAGAAACCTAAGGGCAAGGTCTAGGGGGCAAATGTTGGCAAACATGAGACAGAAGCCAGCAGAGACATTCATTCTCCACACACGCACATCACTGTTCTGAGACACAGCTGTTTCTACAGCTTCTCTGAAGGCATCTCATGGGTTGTGTACTTGTGACTGGAGCCGTGGCCAGCCTGCTCCCCAAGCTTATCATTTCGTGTACTCTGCCTCCTTCCTGCTTCCTGGTGACTACTCTTGCCAATGACTTGCCAGTTGCATGCTTTGGTTCAGGCTCCATTTTCAAGGTGGTCCTAGCTAGGACATAAACTTGTCTGTCTAATTTCATTGAGCTCTCATTGATCATCAGTTAGGTTTACTTTATTGTTCATTTTAGGTTTATTTTGTCTCCATGGGAGGCATGTTTTGGGATAGCACTGATCCTTAGGAATTTCTGTTTTAATCACAGTGCTCTTAGTGAGACAAGTTTCCTTCTGAGTGTGTAGCATCCATCTTTGAGTTGCAAGTGACCAGTTTAAAAAATGCACCTGCAGATAGGTTTAAAGGCATCAGTTTTAAGGAATTTCAAGTTCTGAGAACTTGAACTTGTATGTTCTGCTCTGAAGGCTAGAAGGCTTTTGTTCTATAATTTCTTAGCATTTTCTAGCTCTGACTCTGAAAAGCTGCAGGAAGGCCTGAAATGGGGTGCACATGTCTGGTTTGCATCGCTGGTACTAGCACTTCAGTCAGTGCTGGAGGGCAAAGGCTGAATAGCAACTTCAACAGACGCTGATAGACAAATTTGGTTAGTTGAGGCCGCAACCATTCCACTCAAGGCAGGATGCTCACCTGTGACATATATAACATGACCTGTCTTTGTGTGTGGGACAGCCTGTTCCTCCTCCAATTCCATAAACATACTGGTTGCTTTTTGAAGAGTTTTCGGCAAAGTAAATTCCAGCTCCAAACATCCCTCCAATGTATGCATGTCGCTCATCAAACCCTTTATGAATAATTGCATTAATAAAGGGAGAACCTGAAAATACAGAGGTGGAAAAATTAGTTTTTGAAAACTTAGCTGTATACTTTTCCACCAAACACAGTAATGTTAAAGAAGGAAAACAAACCAAGCACAGGTGGCTCAACTTGGAATCTGAGTTTACAAGCAAGTTCTGAAGGTCATTTGCATTGTGCATGCTTTGGGAAGCCTGTGCCAACATGCCAAAAGCATTTTGGAACTAGATATTAGTTCAACCCCTCCCCCCAAAAAAAAGAAAAAAGGAAAAAGAAAAAAAGTCATTCAACACAATATAATCAATCAGTCCCGTGGGCTTTTCCCATTACCCCCCAAATGTAGACAGACACCAGCACTCACCGTGGAACAGCATGCGTTCATTGTGATGGTTGTGATTCTCCTCAGACACTTCCTTTTGTCTGTGACAGAATCGCTCCCTCAGCTTCTTATTCACAACTTTCTGAATCTTCATGAGGAAAAAAAAAAATCATTATTAATTAAATGTACATTTCTGATTTAAAATGACAAATTAGTTCTCCCTTTGGTGGTGTCAATTTTGTTTTGCTTGATTGACACATTATCTAAAAGTCACCATGTCAGTGGAATTGAGTTAATATGCTTTCAGTGACACAATTTTTACAGTTCTTGTTAGTTAGTATTTCACTGCTGTTTTGTGTGTGAGCATGTGGAAAAGTGAGTGACCATGAGTGTGAAGCCAGAAATCACCAATGAGAAGGTTGCTCTATTATCCTCCATCTTATTTTTGAGAGTGGCTGCTCACTGAACTAAGTTTACTGTTGTCAGACTAGCTGGCCAGTGTGCTTTTGGGAAATCCCTACCTCCACCTCTCAGCTTTGAGATAAGGGTGCCTATCACCATGCCTGGGCTTTACGAGAATGCTGGGGACTCTAACCCAGCTACCTCACATTTGTGCGACATGTACTTTATCCATTAAGCCAAACAAACACCCTTCATGGCTTATTTTGCTATACCAAAATAATTCCCGTAACCAATTCTCGGCAGATGCAATTCACCTTCGTGATACCTTCTGAAAAAACAGGTAATGGCCACATAGTTTTTTTTCTGTGATTTAAGAGATGAATGAATTCTGATCTCATCAATAACAAAAGCCCAACAATCTAGGCCTTTAATAAATGGTACCTTCAAATGATTTAAAATGAAGTAACTGCTGTTGAGGGTCCAAATTTGAGGATGAATGGGTGGGCCATCTGTGGCACTGACACCAGCTACCCGTATGACATGGCCTTCTGTTTGGACCTTTGCTATTCACTATTTCTGACCCGTACGGTCTTACAGGTTAGAGGTTGTAGTGAGAGAATAACATTTGATTTTAGGATAGTGAATGATTATCGCTGACAATTTGAATTTTACCCTCTAAAATTCCTACAGTTCATTTAATTGTCTAGATTATTTTTACATTAGCTTTGGAATCCAACTTTGGCTATAAAAATTCACAAACTTATCAGCTTATAAGTGAGTGTATACCATGCCTGTCCTTCTGTTTATAGGTTACCTCACTCAGGATAATCTCTTCTAGTTCCATCCATTTGCCTGGAAATTTCATAATTTCCTTATTTTTAATAGCCGAGTATTCCATTGTGTAGATGTATCACAATTTCTGGATCCATTCCTCCATTTAGGGACATCTAGGTTGTTTCCAGATTCTGGCTATTACAAATAAAGCTGCTACGGACATAATTGAGCAAATGTCCTTATTGAAAAGTGGGGCATCTTTTGGGTATATGCCTAGGAGTGGTATAACTGGATCTTGAGGTAGCACTAATCCCAATTTTCTGAGAAAGTGCTAGATTGATTTCCAAAGTGATCGTACAAGTTTGCACTCTCGCCAGCAATGAAGGAGGGTTCTCCTTTCTCCACATCACATCCTCTTCAGCATGTGTTGTCACTAGAGTTTTTGATCTTAGCTATTCTGATCAGTCTAAGATGGAATCTCAGAGTTGTTCTGATTTGCATTTCCCTGATGATTAAGGATGTTGACCATTTCTTTAAGTGTTTCTCTGCCATTCAATATTCCTCTACTGAGAATTCTCTGCTTAGCTCTGTATCCCATTTTTTTTAATTGGATTATTTGGTTTGTTGATGTCTAAGTTCTTTAGTTTTTTATATATTCTGGTTATTAGTCCTCTATCAGATATAGGGTTGGTGAAGATCTTTTCCCAGTCTGTAGGCTGTCGTTTTGTTCCGTGGACAGTGTCCTTTATTAGCCGTATAATATAGCCATCTACAGGCCTAAAGAAGCTAAACACCAAGGAGGATCCTAGGGAGGATGCTTAAATCTCATCCAGAATGGCAAACAGGATAGACACCAGAAGCAGTGGAAGAGAGAAAACAGGATGGGAGTCTACTATAGAGGGTCCTATGAAAGGCTCTACCCAGCAGGGGAGCATAGCAAATGCTGAGACTCAGGACCAAACTTTGCACAGAGTGCAGGGAGTCTTATGGAGGAAGAGAGGGGTGGGATTAGAGGGACATGGAGGGGACAGGAGCCCCACAAGGAGACCAACAAAACTAAAAGATTTGAGCCCAGGGGGTCCTGCAGAGACTGATTCACCAATGGAGAACCATTCATGTAGAGGACCTAGACTCCTGCTCAGATGTGGCAGCCCAGTCCATGTGGATCTCCGAAGGAGGGGAACAGGGGCTGCCTCTATCAGGAACTCAGTTGACTGCTCCCTGATCACTCACCCCTGATGATGCAGCCTTGCCAGGCCACAGAGGAAGAGGATCCAAGCAGTCCTGATGAGGCTTAACAAGCTATGGGTAGATGGCAATTATAGAGAACTCCCCCTTTCAGTGGACTAGGGGAAGGAGATGAGGGGAAGAGGGAGAGAGGGTGGGACTGGGGGAGTTGAGGGAGGGGGCTTCAATCGGGATATATAATGAATAAATTTTGAAGAAAAAAAACTTAAGAAAAAAAAATTTACAAACTTACTCGAATGACATTGTATCTGTTGAAGATGCCACCAGCATTGCCACCATCTCTGTGTTCTCGAATAGTACTTTGCATCTGGGGAACAAAGGGAAATAATTAACTTTGTGAGAGGCAACAGTGCGAATTCCTTCTGCTGTCTCCACAATATTCCAGTTCTTCCATCTGTCTCTCCCTGATGAGTCTGAATCCCATGCAGGAGTTCACTATAAACTGATCAACAAATTCAATGAGTATTTGTGGCGAGAAAGTAGTCATGAATACCAATGTAAGCATTTTCTGATATAAATTTTGGAAGATTTTTTTGTAAACACGACAGGAAAACTGAAAAAAAAAATAGCATTTCAAATAATGTAAAATTACTATTTTGTTTTTGAGAATGAAAAGAAATTGAGTAAGTTAAACTAAAATGATATTCAATCGATACTACATTAGATAAATGCTAAAAATAAATAATTAAAAAATACATTTTTGTTCCATTTTATCACAATAGTTATTGGGATACTGATATATAAGTTTAGGCAATGGAAGTTGAGTGTATTTCACAATTTAACAGAATAACCTTTTAACCACTGCTAATTCTTTAACTATCAAATTTCAAATAATTATTATGGAAAAGAAACTGTTTTGAAGACTTAAATGTCTTGGGCTGTGGGCAGAACCCCTGCCAAGCATGTGCAAGGAGGCCCTAGGTTTGAAGGCAGTATCACAAAAATGCCCAAATTTCTGACAACTGGCTTGTGGAGTAAGCTCTACTCGTGTCTCCATTTGGGGGTGTGCAGCCCTCATCTTACATGATCAAAATTTACTATGGGGACAAACAGACAAGGCCCTGGAACACATTCTGCCTTCCTGATAATCTAATACAAACTGAAACATTACTATGGGGTAACCATCCTGTATTCCCTAACGTGACTTCTAGCACTAAATGGAGATAATAAGAGCACTAGGTAAAAAAATAAAATGACAGAAACTCCTTAACTGTAGTCAACATTGTTTCCGCTTAGAACAAGGCAAATTACTCCCAACAATGGAGTCAGACATTGCATTGGGAACAACAAATACAAGGGGAATTTTTATGCCACCTTTCTACAAAATGTAGTCTAATTATATAGTGTGAGAAATAATTGTGAATGTAAAAATTAACTGAGATAGAATCTTCCTTAATCATGTAATTGAGCTAGAAAATAATGTGATAACCAGGCATGTTGCTAAAGAAACACTTAATAATTACATTAAAAGCCTAGAGGGTATTTTCTGTCTATGAGCAAGATTCTTGCCCCATATCAATCTTAGGTGTATTTTACTGAATGAAAATGTTTTAAAAAGATTCTTACTTTCATGACTTAAAACTGACAAAATTTCTACAACAAAAAGATAGCCATTTTACAGACAGGCCTGAGATATGAAAGCACTGTGCATCATGTGATCCAACAATCCTATTAAATGCATGCTGGTGACCAAGACTGAATAAAACAGGCCAAGTGACCCTGCAACAGAGTAAGATGAGTTCGTGTCCCTGGAAATAGAGTCATAGCAGAATCTGGGCAAAGAAAAAGTTTTTCATGTTTGTTACCTCTTCTTCTACTGACTGATATTCTTTATCTTCTGGAGCAAGATCTAGCAAAATAGTTCCCTGATTCACACAGTGAAAAGTCAAATACGGATTGGTTCCTGTAGAAGAAAAAAACAAATGCTTTATAAAGCACATACCCATATCACCCCCGTCCCACTAAGCTTGTGGAAAACTTGGCTATAAATAACTGACAATTTGGATTAGCCTACACACTATTTTCAACCTCCACCTCAACATCCAGTCTGTAAGCAAATATACCAAAGGCACAAGAAGAAATGAAGTGTTAAGGTACTTATTCCCTCCCATGAACCCCTTCTACACAGCAGGGCTCAATACTTCCTGAACTGATCGTGAACTTAATCATGAACAAAGGATATATCTACAAAAGAGAAACGTGCCCTGAATCACAATGTGTTCTACAATAGGAGAATCGTCCTCAAAAATTCTTTCCAAGATGACCTGAAGATGGTCACTAATTAACTTGTGTTAATTTCATAGGATTGACTAAAACACATGTTTAAAAAAGCCTTCTAAGTTTGGTTGCACACAGTTTTTGAAATTTTATCAGCTAAATAGATACTATTTGTTCCCTCTCTTTATTTATCTACTCTATGGCAAGCACATCTAACAAAGACATATACAGTAAACATGGAAGCAAGAGAAGAGGCCTGTAACAGTGCAGGATGATGGAAATGGTTGAGCTGTGGTCCTGAGGGCCAGGGGAGAGCTCAAGATGAGGCAGGAAAGGTCAGACTATAAGAAGTCATGTGCCAAGTGTCTGATTTTATCCAGAAAGCACCAGGGCACTGCAGATGGGGGTGAGAGGACGGCAGACTGCTCCTCTGGATGCTGTGGAGAAGGCAGTAGGGGAGGTTAAGGTGCAGGCTGGAGGTTGGCTGAACAGTGGCTCTGAGGCCCAGGAGAGGAACTGGCAGCTTGAGTCAGGGGAAAGCAGTGGAAAAGGACAAAGCACAGAGATCTGAGAGAAACTTCAGGGCATAGAGTGGAAAGACTTGCTCTCAGACTTGCCCAGCTGGTAACAGTGAGTAGCCGAGCTGAGAAAGACAGCTGTGCCAGTGAACCTCATGTGCTCTGGGGCCAGACTGCCCGAGCCCTCAAACTAGCCTTGCTATTTCTTCACTAAATTCTGAAAAAATATCTATTGTTTTCAAATAGCTTACCTTGTTGTCCACCTAAAAGTCTTTCCACGCCCTTGATTAACTTGTGGCGGTGTCCATATGCATTGATGCCTATTTCTTTGAGTTCTTCATGACCCATATCAGCCAACACATCTAGTGTAATCTGAAAATGGAAGCAGGTACACACTAATGTGAAGCAGTTCTTGCACCCATCTCCAGTACTGTGACCACCACACAGTTTAAAGAACCCGCTTCCTTTTCTAAACACGACCTTCAAGCTGCCTGTGAGGACCAGCAACACCCCGCTCAGCAGAAACACTCCCATATTTGCTTTGAGCAGGTGGACAATTGAGATGGAGACCCAGATAGATGGGCAGACAGATGATCACTGCCATGGTTCTTTCTGACTGCTTTTTTTTTTTTTTTTTTTTTTTTGCCTCCAGATAGATGGATCAGCAGCCTGAAAAATTGGAAAACCCCAAATTCAGTATCTTGTGGATAGGAGAAATGAATGGCAGACATTCACTTTAATTAATCAGTGTGGCAAAAGTAAGCCAACTTAAGTTCCCAGTGCCAGAACATAAGCAAGCCAGGAGTCCGCAGCCTTAGGAGGCAGGCAGGTTGAAAGTTTAAGTATCAGTTTAGGTCACAGGCCATTTTATAAAGCAGCAAACTCAGAAATACCAATTTGGAGAAAAGGAGAGGAGGATTTTTAGGTTCATAAATTATCAGGTTAGCAATCCCTGCTCCTACACACTCTCGATGTTTGCAGCCTCTGAATTCTGGAGACTCATCTGGGAGGGCAGTGGCAGCTTGCTGATCTCCTCACACCTTTGTGGACTACAGTAACTGTGACTCTACCTCCACCCAGTGGCGATGTTCTGAAATCACCTGTGGCTTCATGTGCAGAGGATGGCGCTGGGATAAACACTGGTTTGTCATTCTTGGTTTTTTCTTTCTCTGGAGACCTGAAATATCCTTTTATAGACATTCTTTTTCTAACTCATACAAGATTTAAAAAAATATATAACTTTCTCCATCTTTACACTTAACAAATTAGGCCTCAAGGTCTGATTTTTACTGTCAAAATGAAATACTACAAAATAAGTTGGATCATCTCAGTGCAATGAACAACACTGCTCATTCTTTGAAGTAATTTAGCACATTCCTACTAAGTGGACATCGAAAAAAATAATTGTTTCATTGTAAAAAAGAAATCAGCAATTCACTCTAATTACCCAAGGAAAGTTTTCAGAAGACAGCAACACCAAAATATTCATCTTTGGAATAGAACAGTTTATAAAATAGGAGTCTTTACAGTTTAAGGTAGACCTGATTTTAATGTAATCTGTGATTACATTAATGTTACCGGTATCATCACTTTCTAGATATTTTATACTTCAGTTTAAATACCATTGACAATAAAAACATGGCCTCATTTATATGAGGTAACTTTAGGTTATATACATCAAAATCTTTTTTCAAAATTTTTATTTTATGTGCATTAGTGTGGAGGTGTCAGAGCCCTTGGATTTGGCCTTACAGACTGATATACATAGCACATAGCTGAAGAGTGTCAAAACCAGGCTAGAAGACGAAACAAAACAGCAAACAAAGAATATTTCTAACCATGTTCTCAAGAAGGAATGTAGAGAGTTCAATACACAGACCTGTAATCACAAAAATGGATGTAAGAGTCCTTGCCCAAGCCCCCTGCACAGCTAAGGAATCCTAAGTTACTACACTTCAGTTTACAAAGCAGGGCTAAGTGCTAGGCTCCTCCGTGGTGGAGAAAGCAGCCTCTAAAATGGCTGCCAGAGATCTTTAGCCCCTAGCATTGTGTCCTGATTAAAATCCTTCCCCCTTGGTTGTAGGCCACAGTTACTGACTAGTCACTAATGACAGTACAATACTTGACACGGTACACTTAAATAAGTTATTTATTACTTTTAAGCCTCCACTGACTTATTTGGTGGGAGCAGTCAGAAAACATGCTTGGTTATTTGGAGGAAACCACAAGTTTGCTTCCCTAGTTATTTATTTATTTTTTGGAAGGGGAGAGTTACTCATGTCCAACATACATCAATATGAAAGTTTTGGAATAAAGTCTGTTCATTTATAAGCTAAAAATGGTGCGGCATATAAAGTAAATGCCACGTGTAGTCGAGTTGCCTTCTGCTCCTAAGACTTGTTCATTTTACCTGGGGTATGGAGAAAAAATTATTTTAGCTGAAAAGGCCCTTTTTTTCACTTGGGGTGGTGGTGATGACTTTGTAATCATATTTACAATGAACTTATTTGAGTCTAAGCTTTTGTCACAGTTTGAAAAAAAATGTAAATGGTCACTTTCTGTAAAAATATAAGGTTGACTATAAACACAGCCAGCCTGTCAAGTCACAGCAGCTGAGCTCTAGAAATTACAATGTAAAATATTACTTTTTCCTGTAGACAAAGCATTTCTAAGTAGGAAGCTACATTATAAGCGGGAGGAGAGGTTACACAATGCTATAGTTAATTAGAAGGGATTTTGATATATTTTTAGAAAGTATCTGTGTAGAATAAGATAATCTGGAAACTTCTGAGAAAATAATTATGAAGGTGGAGCTCAGAGTATGGTGCACTAACGCTCTTCTAGGACCAGAAATGAAATAATTATCTCCCACCTCACTAGGAGATAAGTATTCACATGTAAGAACAGAGGCAGCAGAATACATCCGTTAGAGTCTCAGGAAACACATATACAACAGGAATTAAATGGACACAATTCATGTATCACACACTTCCACAGTAAACAAGCATGTTGATATACATTACTGGATGGCTAGAGAATATTTATGACAGAAAAAAAAATTCTAAAGGTATGCTGTCGAAGAATTAAATAGACCTGATATTTTATAATGGAGGAGAAAAGGTAACCTCTGCACTTGAAATAAGTATAAACGTAAATGGCAGCCCACCGGTACAAGACAGTCAAAACAGTCCAATGCACAGAAAGGCAACTACTGCTCTAGGGGAGGGGCTGCCTGGAGGAGCACAGCAGTTAAGTACAACAGTTAATACCTTGACTATGAAAAGGATGTAGAAATTACTTGGGACCAAAGAAAAATCAATGGAACACTGATTTACTCAGAACAATAAAATTGATAAAAAGGAAGAGCTGATAGAAGGCTGAATCATTAAACTACTAAGTCAATACATGAGAGAGACATGCCACAGGCAGTCAGTTACCGACACAGAGAACATACAATATGAAGTAAAGTGCAAACAGCTGTACATTACCATGCAAACTGACGGGAGCACAGAAATGAGTTCTAGGAAAGGCTCTCAACAAGAGGTGGAGCCACTTGTTAGAATTACAGTTTTTGTCTTATTAAACCAAGAGGTGTGTGAAATTTGGCAATTACTGGGGGCATGATTCAGGAAGGGACACAGTTGCTCACATAACCACAGCAGAAGACAATGTGTTTACACAACTTCAAAGCCTCACGGTTTCCAGTGTTCTCATAGGAAACCTCTGGCCCAGAATGAACAGATGACAGGGAGAGGCAGTTCTTCCAGCAGGGTGTAATGGCTTCAGCACAAACAAAGGCCCATACTATCGGGGCTGTAACGAAGTATGATTTAAAAACTGACAAAAGCACACAATTTGGCCAGGAATGTCAACTGCCTACATACTGTAGGTGCGGTTAACTGACTAGTAAGGAACATGACAAGTTAAATGCCTCTTAACTCATTTCTACAGTCAGAAAACAACATCAAGATGTTTATTTAGTTCAATCCTATTTCAACTGTTTGAGTCATTAAAAATACTAAAAATGAACTATAATAAATGTAAAGAAATTTATTTAGCTAAAGAAATAAAAGCTTAAGAAAATCTTACTATTATAAGTCATATAAAATTTAAAAAAAAACCAACACTTTCCAGATAGTTTTTGAAATAAGATTTCACTAAAGCCCAGATTATCTTCTAACTTGCTACACAGCCCAGGCTAGCCTCAAACTTGCGATCCTCCTGTTTGATCCTCCCAAGTGGTAGTTGTAGGAGTGTGCTATTTACCTGTATTTCATTAAGTTAAAGACTGACTACAAACTTACAAAGAATAAAGAACAGGGCAAAGACCTGCAGAAAAAAGTATAATTATGTCACATACTGAAGAAGCGAATAAGCCTATTTATTCCAGAGGGGTCACTATTTGCAGGGGCCGATGGTTGGAGAGGGAGAAGTGTACGATAACAGGATAAGAAGGCTTCGCACACTCGCTGCTGTGGGATGAGTGCTGGCCTTCAGATATGTTCCAAAAATGTTAACACTTTGGGGAGCAAGGCTGCCACAGATGCTTAAGGTTCAGATCCTAAAACAAGCAATCACCCAGGAGGTCCCAAGTTTAAAGGAAGTGTTGTACTAAAAGGCACATGAGAAGGCAGACACAGGACAAGGCAGCATGACAACACAGCAGAGACTGGGTGTCATGTGACCCGTGAGACCTAAGTCAAGGAGGCTGAAGGGCAGATTGTTCTAGAGCGCTGCAGAGAGTGTACCCTCCACAATCGGACTGCAGATTTCTGAGGGGAAATTGCTGTTAGGCTACCAAGTCTGTGGTCATTGCCTACCAAACTCAGCATACACTGACTGAAGAATAAACTGTGGGGCACAAGTCACAACAGAAAGACCTGAGGAGGGCCAGGAAGCTCATCTAGTTATGTCCTATTACACAAGTTATCTTCCCTGCTGGAAGGCTGACAGGGGATAAGGCAGTAGGTAACTCCACCTGGGAGAATGATGCACTGGGCTCCAAGTGCCTCTCCTGTCCTAAGGTTCCATGTCCAACAGTAATACTAAACTCACTTTTCAATGCAGTGTTTATTATGGAACACAGCAGTAAGAACTCATTATCCCGACAAAGTCTGGCAAACATAAGTTCTCACTAGTGAACATAAGGAGAAGAGGATGTAAATGCCAGTGTCTTCTGGAAACAAAAAGCCCAGACAAAACTGAAGCTAATCTTGAGCTAGTTTCTTGACCTAATAAGTTCACCAACTGCTCTACCAGCAAGCTGTACCCTCACTTCTCGTGGTCTAGCCTGACATACAGATGTTACTGAGCAAAACTTCTCATAGAAAGGCTAGCCCTCTGCACTGTCAGAAAATTCTGGAGAGAAGCATAAAATGCTGGACTCCCTGACTTCTCTAGAAACGTTTCAGGCAGCTAACAAGCAAGGCAAGATCACACCTAAAGCACATAGCTCAAGCCCCAAGAGAACACATAATACAGAAAATAAACAGCTGCAAAGTTAAAAAAAAATGTGTGGCAATAACACAGTAGTTGAAAAGCTGAAAAGTATACAAAAGTTTACCTGTTCTGTTTCAAAGATATCCCGAAGGTGTTCAAGGCCAAGGCTTTTAAGGAATTGGCTGATATTCATGTCAAGACCCGCAACTAAAATAGAAACATTAAAATTTCTTAGAATTTTCTAATTCTATGCAAGATTTCAGTATTTATGTATAACCCTATTTCTTGTATACAGATGATTTAACATAACATAAAACAATGCCAAATATGTAAATTTAACTTAGACATTTCAAGTTATTCTGAATTTTATCTTTGGCATAGCAATAGTACCTATATTAACTCTAAAACATATAGAAATAGAACTAAAATACAGATTTTATAGATAAGATACATGGTGAACATAATTATTTGGTATTAGTTTCTAATATAACAATATTATTTCATATAATTTAAGTTTTATTCAATTATTTTATGTGTGTGTTTATTTGTGAGTATTTGCATATTGAGCACAGGTGTCCCTGGAAGCTAGAATAGGATACTGGATTCCCTGGAGCTGGAGTGACAGGGGTTGTGAGCTAACCAGTGTGAGTGCTGGGAACTGATCTAGGTTCTCTTAAGAGCAGTGCCTAGGCTCGAGAACACATTTTCTAAAAGTAAATACTTTTAATGAATTAAACAAACTAAAAAACCAAAGGTACCAGCTACTGTTCTGTTCTTTTCTAAAATTATTTTTATTTATTTCTGGGTGTATATGTAGCATGTGTGGAAGCCAGAGGTCAATACTTCTGTATTGGCCTTCCTCAGTATCCACCCATTCATCCATCTTCCACTGCCTGTCTATCTGAGAGAGAGAGAGAGAGAGAGAGAGAGACAGAGAGAAAGGATCTTGCTGAGCCTAGAGCTCTGCTCAGCTAAACTGGCTGGCCGGTGAGTCCCGGGAACCCTCCAGGCTTTGCCTCTTCAGTACTGGGACTACCCAACCACTGCACCCGCAATTTACATGGATGTTGACTATCAAAAATAAGCTCCTCCTTTTCGTTCCCTCTCCCCCCTTCGTATCCCCCAACCCTGTTTTTGATAAGGCCTCACCAGGTAGTCCAGGAACTCAAAAGTTTGGAGAGAGGCCATCTTTAAGCTTTTATTAATAAAAAGAAAAAAGTAAGCGGTGCACTAAAAAAGCATAAGCAAACATTCACAGGAGTGTACTGACCTTCTCCTTCCTTCCTTTCTGCGCCTGCGGCACCGTCCCCTGCATTGGAGGCCCCTCCTACAGCCAGCTCTGCTAAGGGGCCAGTGAGGTTGTCTATGCTGCTGGCAGCTGAGAGGCAGGAGGGGGTGGACACTGGCGAGATCAGAGAGGCACTAACTACAGTCGCCTGAGGTTTAAAACAGGTAGGTAAGGCCTCCGGGGGCATGGCATCTATCAGCAAAGCTCGGATATCATCAGCCTAAAAATAATCACCAAAGAAAACACACACAAAAAAGTGTTATAAATGTGAAGTTTTTCACTAAGTACTTTTTTTGTTCTTTAAAGACTACCAGGCATAGAAACTGACACTTGCTTTTGGCACCAAACGTTGAGTGGTGGCTGTAAAGAAGAGCTGAGCATTAGACAACTGGTAGTGAAAGCTAAAGGGGGCTGATTACACACGAGATATCACAAAAGTACAAACTGAACTGAGAGAAAAGCGGCTTTGAAGATTTCCAGGAAGAATGCAGCTCTGCCAAATGAACTGCCAGTTGAGCCCTGGAAGGTGATCTCACGCCTGAAGTCCTAATGAACTATAACCATAACTGCAACAAGGACTTACCGTTGCCAGATCTAAAGGTGTCTGACCTTCTTGGTTCTTCATGGTTGGGTCTGCGCCATGTGCTAGGAGTAGGGCACATAACTGTGTCCTTCCTTTCTGGGCTGCTTCATGAAGGGGCGTAAAGGCCCACTTATCCGTTGCATTTACACATGTGTTGTATTTTATCAGTAATGCTGCTATGTCAACATGCTGGGAAAATCAAGAAGACACAGAAGCTTAAGAAGAAACTACCCAGCAGAGTTCCATAAAGTATCCTTGCTTCTACTTAACAATTCCTTCCAGGCCTGTGTTCTCATCCTTAAAAGAAATTTCTTCTTTGTGCTTTAGACTTCTCTCCTTCACAACTACTCTTTTGCCCCTCTAGGCTGGGTCTCATGGAGCTCAGGCTGGCCAACATTACTTATTACAAAAGTAAAAATGTTAATTCCTATGAAATGCTTCCCAGTGCTGGTAATATGAAGAAGGGAGAAGGGCAGCATGATGAAACTAGTCTCTTCTGAAACCAAGCTGGTCTGTTATGTGCTAAGATTCTTTGGGGATTATGAGAACATCACAAAACTAACTTCATAGTTTATATTAAACTTCTAACACGAAAAATATCGATGATTCTATCAAAATCACTTCAAAAATACCCAAATTATCTTCTTTATTCAAAGGATGTGTTTGGAAAAATTATCTCTGTTCCATCAATTCAAAAGCGTGGGATAATTCCAAGCTATTCCTCGGATGATATACATTACTTAAATTGTGTTTCCTGTATTTTATTAAGAGCAATGCAATCTGGTAGACTAATTTGCATAGATTTCTGAAATTAGTCCAAGAAAAGTTATAGTTTGTACGTATGTGGGTGTATAAATGAGCTGTAAGCATTGTTAAATTTTCTTTGTACTGAATTACAGTATGTGTTTAGTGAAGCCAATTACATGTTTTCTAAACAGGCTGGCAAATGTCTAACAGACCAATGAAGAAGAAGGATTATCACCCAAGTAGAGTCAAAATACAATTCTTTACGCTTTGCCTTCTTTTTAAGTAGCTATACCACTAGGACAAACTGTTATTACTGCTATTAGAGGTAACTGAAAATTAGGGCTAAATGCACAAGTAAGCTGCAGCTTAGCTCTAGCCACCTATAACCACAGAGCGAGAAGGCCTAGACAAGGAGCTGACTGCTGTGTCATGAAAAAAATGCAGCTCAATGTGGCTTTAGCACTGAGCAACATCAAAAAATGCTGCAAGTGACAAACATGGCATAAAGGCAGGGTCTCGATTTTAAAAAGGAAGGAAACAGAAGAAAAAGGTGGGCTACAGCCAAAGCCATTTAATTATATGCGGTCTCTACTACAAAGACGGCATGAAATCTTCAAATATCATCGATGTTAGATAAACCACTGCCAAATGAGAAAGTGGAGGAAAAACAAAAAACAAACCCAAACAGCCAAATGATCTATTCTTATAAAAGAACATGCTTTTGGTAAGGAATAAATATCAATGTTTTTTTTGTCTATTAATAGTACAGAAGTTAACTATCCTTTGTACATATGGATTAAGAAATAATACCCTGTGCTCGCTTTGGCAGCACATATACCATAATACCTAACACACTAAGATACTAAGCCGAATACAGCACATTATCATAAATATTCTCATGAAACTTGTAACTTTAAAAAAAAAAACATTTTTTAAAGATTATTATTATTTATACAGCATTCTCCCTGCACAACAGCAAAGGGTACCAGATCTCACTAGAGATGGTTGTGAGCCATCATGTGGTTGCTGGGAATTGAATTCAGGACCTTTGGAAGAACTGCCAGTGTTCTCAATCTCTGAGACATCTCTCTAGCCCGGAAACTTATAACTTTTATTTAAGCTTCTTAAATCACATGTTTGTCTCTCCATTTGAAAATAAATGGGGCGATATTACTTTTTAAAGTTACAGATTCAAAGAGCACACTGAGTTTAAACTTGCTGTTTGATAACAGAGTGTAACCACAAAAGACAGTACAAAACTGCTTTCTATTTTTCTCATTTGCAGACAGAAAAGCAGGGAACTGTGGTACCTACAAAGCAGGTTTGTATGAAAACGGGGCAGTAGGAGCCAATACATCACCTGAGAATCTGGTGTACAGGCTCTGCTGTCTGGGGACTGTAGAGTTAGAGGGATATGTGCAAAAGCAGAGAGGCACAGGAACGTTCTTCATATTTGACTTATTTGTACGGCAAAGCATCAGGGTTGAGGACCTTGGTTACGGCTATTTCTGACAAATGGCATCAAGGCACCGCAGTGCCACCTTCTTCCTGAATACAGTTATAGTGCCTGGAAAGATGGCTTTGCATTTTTACTTGGCAGTTTACTCCCTCAGCAAAATGCTATTACATTGTGCAAACTGCTTAACCACTTGGCTTGACACTTTTAAGATTCTAGAGACAAATGTAAGCAGCTTCAATTCCATACCTACTTAGGAGCCTCCTCCTGCTTTAATAATTTCTAAAATCTATCCAAGGAGGAGGTAAGATTTATATATGACCCACTGCGCACTGATTATTGTGTTAGATAATGTGCAAAGACACAGCAAGCTTTCAAAGGCTCATCAAAAAGCAGCTAGCTACATGGGAAGCTGTAACAAACGTGTATAGACGGTTCAAATTTGCTGTTGGTTAGCAATCTGTTCTAATATGCAGTACAGGATAAGTAAAGTATTAAATGCCAGGAAAAGCATTTAGATGGTCTCTGTAACATGCTCACCCCATAAGACGCTGCATTGTGAAGTGGAATCAAGCCTCCTTTGTCCTGGGCATTAACGTCTGCGCCATGCTCCAGAAGGTACTCAGCTACTTCCAGGTTATTGTAGCCTGCTGTTAGGGGAAAAGGGACACGGCAGGTCAGGAGAAAGAAATACAACTCATACTCACATATAAATAAAAAGCAAAAGTATTGAAGATTTTAATTCTTTTTCTTCAAAAGCTAGTACCATCTTCACATCATTGAGTCTTTGCACACGTGTACAACACATGCCAGTTTCTTTCACAGGCACTGCAGGAGGTCTTAGGACAATCTGCAGAAGTTTGATCCTCTTGGTTGACCATGTGAGTTCTGGGAATTGGAACTCAGGTTGTGAAGCTCGGTGGCAAGGACATTTGCCTGTTGGGCTCTCTCACCAATCCTCTTTCACCTTTCAAGCCAAGTGGATCAGCATGTGGCACACAGCTGAATAGTGTTTAGCTGAGTATTAGAAAGGACAATGAGATGACACAGTGACGCTTACCTGCCAGGTGGAGAGGAGTTGAGTTTCTGCCCTGGGTGTCCCTGCAGTTGATATTCTCTGGAGTACAAAGCTTCTGCACTCTGGCCAGGCAGCCCTTCTTGGCAGCATCCAAGAGGGCAGCATCCCCCCTCAGTAGGTCCTGAATATCTGTGTCTCCTTCTTTGACCAGATCTAGAGGTGTATTTCCATCTCTGTTCTTCTTAGTTGGATCTGCTCCATGCTGTAAAGACAAAGAAACAAACAAAAAACCGAAGTGTGTTTCCCAAGTGAGTAGATAGCATATTCATTATTTACATTACTTAATTACTCTTCACACCTTTACTTATCTGGGAAAAAATCTATTCCCCATGCACTTTGAAAACAGGAATATAAATTCTGCTTTATTTTGCAACTGGGAAGGATACTGAACTTTTTTTCCTTTCCGTGACAACCTTTCCCTAAGATCTGAAATTGTCTTTGAAAAACTCTTCTTTCAGATGTTAATTTTGGCCAGACTTCAATTGCACTACACACCTACATACATACACACACAGCTTTAGTGATAAAACTAGGGCCTCATACATGGTAAGCAAGCACCCCACCTCTGAATTATATTGAATCAAATTACACAAAGGCAGCACCATGAAAAAGAAAAACGGAATATACACAGATAGAAAAAAAAATACTGAATTCTAAGTAGCATCAGTTAAAAAAGTCTCTTCATTTAAAAATATATTTCATGATGTATAAATGTGCTCTAAAAAAAGAAAAACTACCTTTGTTTAAAATTATCTACACCTGTAGGCCAAGAATTTTTACTATAAACCTACATAAACAGCTGATGACCTACTGTGGAAATTAAGAATAATCTAAGCTAGCCAGGAAAATCCCAGCCTTTGGGGCCAGAGTCAGGCAGATCCCTATAAGTTTCCATGCCAGCCAGAGCAACTGAGTAAGACTTTCTCTTAAGAAATGAACAAACAAACAAATAAACATCAATATTCAAATTAGACAACAGATTCATAATGACCTATAGGTGATTTAAAAAAAATATATGGTATAAAAAATATAAACTTAAAGGAAAACTTATAAAAAAGGAAAACTTTTTCTCTGGTTAAGAAAATATGAGAAACCACAAAGATGTCTTACATGACATACATGTGTGTGATATTTAATAAGCAATGAGTTAACAGTACAGTTATGACATAGCCGTAGTAACTGTTCTGCAAAGAGCAACTTGAATGAAACACTCCCTAAGGCCAGTTTTTGCTAATATTAATGCTATACTAGGTAAGCCATGTAAACTAAGCCATCTCTTCCCAAATCCTTCACTGATGAAATGACCACCACTGAATCTATTCAAAAAGATGTGTCAGGCACTAACCAAAAATAGTCTTCTCAGCACTTGCTTTCAATAGATTACCACACTCTTAATTTCAAACAATAACGAAACCCAGGCAGCTGCTTCATAGCTACATACTTTTAGAAGGAGCTTGCAGATTTCGTATTTTCCCTTGGCTGCTGCTTCATGGAGAGGAGTAAATTTCCACAAGTCCGCCACATTGACAGAGGCCCCATGCCTCACCAAGAGCTCAGCTACCTCATAGTGTCCATAGGAGCAGGCATTATGAAGGGGAACCAAGCCGCTAAACAAAAGAAAACCAGAGTCACAAAACAAATCATTCAGCTAAAATAATTCCTACAATAGTGGTACATGCCTGTAATCTTAGCACTAGGGAGGTAAAGGCAGGGGTTAAAGGTCATCCTCAGCAACAGAGGGAATTTCAACCCAGCAGGGCTATGTGGGACTGCCTTCAAATCTCCCCATCACAGGCTGCTATGGCATTCACAAAGAAATACTTGCTCTGTGGTCTCTAAGAAATGGGCCTCTGTTTCTAAGCAGAGACGATACTTTTCATTGGTGTGTATATACGCACAACTGCATGTGTGCTTTGAGACTAGTGACTGCTGTGATGTATACATATTACATATATACACACACGCACATATACACATATAGGTGTATAGACACATACATATCCAGCCTTTTCTATTTTAATAGAGGCATTCTTAAACCTATTTCATAAACAAAGCAGGCACTGAGTTTTAATTGTTTCGGTCTCCAGAGTGGCTGGGACACCAGGCCTGCTTAACACAATCCTTCCAGCTCTTACTTTCACCCTAGAATGTAAAGCTCTGTATACTACCCAAGTATTAGCATGAATAACTAAGCAATCTGCTTTTTACCATCTCCCAGACTTTGTTTTTTGATTCTTTGATTTTACTAATAAAAATTGCCAGCTTATATATACACAATATACAACAATGTAGCATATAATACATAAAATATACAACACATTCTACTTATTCAGTTGGCAAATTTCACCATCTGTTTTAGTTATTTTTAAGTTTATAATGATTCAATAGTGGTTTCTTTGTACAATTTAAATACTGAGGTAAATACTGTTTTGTAAAGCAAAGAAAACTCAACAGTGACTTCAGGTGAGAACCCACACCAGGCATAGCAGTGCAGGCCTTTAATCCCACAACTCAGGAGGCAGAGGCAGGAAGATCTCTAGGAGCAAGTTCAGATGACTCTGTTTTCATAGAAGGCATGTGACATTCCAAAAGGTAGCACAAAAAGACACCTTCTCAAGATCAGTGCTCTGAAGGGTCAGCGTACACTGACTTGGGACATGCAAAAACAAGATACCCAGTGCCATTCTATTTAGAGGTTAGTGCCACCTGAAAGGAAGGTTTTATGATGAAATATTCTGGTCCTAAAACGAGTCATAAAGCAAACACTGGCTGCTCTCCAATGTACCATAGTACTTTAAAACAGATGGTGATGTTGTTCTCAAGTCTTCATGTATGATGCATTACTTAAGAAAGATAAACACATAATGGTTATCCGAAGCCTAAGGCAGGTCCATTTACAGCACTCTACTGAACAAGTGCACAGAATGGGCTGGCTTACCTGAACACAGAAATTCATTTTGGTTAAAAACTCTTCTTACATTTCTAAGTAGCTGCTTTAAAAGTTTTTCCTGATTTGTCAATTCATCTAATATAAAAATACAGAGTTTAAACTAGCAGAGACAAAACGATATTTCTTTTAATACTGGTGATTGTGGGATGGACTGAATTCTTTGTGGAAGAACTCATCTATTTTTAATAGCAAAAATATGAGATGAGCAGTAAATTACAAATTACACGAAAATATTCATAACTGAGGTGAAACCCTCACAGAGCCAGGAAAAGGATGCACCAAATGAGAAGACATCTTCTATCCCCTCCTGGTGAGAAGAGGTGAAGTCCAGAGCAGACTGGAATGCCATTCTCACCTTTGCATGGCACGGCTCCGGGCAAATTCAGAGGTGCCAAGCGAGAAGCTCACAATCACAAGTGATTGATACTTGGTGTACACAATCAAAGATATAGCTAGAGAATTATAGGCAAAATGTTCATATTGGATTTTTAATGGTGGGAGGAGAGAATTTTCAATTTCTACGCTGTGTGTTTGTTTATATTGTAATTTAAGTGAAACGTGTATATTATTTTAATGAGAAAAACATCTACAACACAAAAAACATTAGTGTTTTAAAAAGTAGTATGTCATTAGCAAATTTTTTGTTCTAAAGAAAGCAGTTATGTTCTGTAGATAAAAATTATATAATTTTATAACAAACACAAACTGGTTAAGTATGACGGGATCCGAAGACATACCCTTTGTCTTTGGCGTGGACGTCAGCTCCGTGGTGCAGAAGGTACTCCACAACAGACACCCTGTTATAGCCTGCAGCGAAGTGTAAAGGCGTGGAATGCCGGCCCTCCAGATCTCTGCAGTTCACATTCTGCGGGCTGCACAGTTGCTTTTGTGGTGTACACACAGACACAGAGGCAGAGACAACACCATTAACAATCCTTCATAGATCTTCCTCTAAAATTGTGCAGCAATTTTACATTACTATAATTATACAGTAAATGTTCTCCACAGATGAGATGTTTAGAAATCAGCACCATGGCTAGACATGATGAGACATACCTAAAAAATCCCAGAGCTGGGGAAGTGAGGGAAGATGGTCTCCAACTTGGGCCCAGCATGGGTTACAGCGTGAGTTTGAGGACAGTATGGGACACATACTGTTTCAAAAAACCTCAAAGGAGGGAATACTCGAGGAAGAACTAGATTCCATGGCAAAGCATGAATCCAAGGAGGATCACATTTTCCAAAAAGTTAAATCCAAATAGTCCAGGAACCTGAGCAGATTCTCAGTTATGGAAGAGGTATTTAACCCATTTGGATTTCTGGCAAAAATATTCCTCAAGAAAAAAAGATATTCCAGATTGCCCTGTGGTGCCAAGAGGATATCTGAATTCCAGGTCACGCCCCAGCTGCTGAACCACCTCAAGGCAGACAGACCGGGCACAAGTGTGGACTGGGGGCATCTTGGCTGTCTTCACCTGTGCTGAGAGCTGCAGCCCGGACACTGGCTACACAAAGGAGTCTGTGTGGAAACAGGATGTGACCGATACACCCTGAAAAGGGTTAAATGCTTTAAAATGTTCCTTAGGAGTCAGGTGCGGTGGCACACGCCTGTGATCCCAGCACTCTGGGAGGCAGATGCAGGCGGATCTCTCCGAGTTGGAGGCCAGCCTGGTCTACAAAGTGACAGCCAAGGCTATGCCTCAGTACCTCACAATTTCATCTCTAGGGCTTTTATCCTAAAAAAGAGGTTACCAAAGACAGAAGTATGAAGATACTGCTTGATACACTATTTACGGAGTTTGTATATTAATACACAAAGTACCCAATGTCAGGGAATTACATTTTAGGTGTACCCACAACGAAGGACAATAGTGTTAATGCTAAACACATACATGGACACCAGGAGGGGTATAAATCAACACCAGGATATCACCGATGATGTTCATGGAATGTTGTTAATTGTATTGAAATAGCTGTGTGTACATAGAAATAAATACGGAGAGATTGAAAAAAAACAAAACCAGAGGAGAATCCACATTATACTTGGTGTTACAGTGACTATAGACACTCTCAGTACATGGAGGAATTAACCTTTGCTGGCATGCCCTAGCCCAATCCTGTTTCATTTGTGCCCCTCTCCCTCCCTTAGACTGACTATCACAGATAAGCATACCACTGAGATGGTATGCTCGGCTGCTCTTTGCTCAAATCAGACAAACTTGAGTTCACTACAGGAAACTGAGAGAGTTCCTGTCTCCTTGAGAGTTGGTCAAGAAACACTTGCTTTTTAGTTCTCACAAGTTCTTGATTCTGTTCATTTCTTGCTGAACATCAGAGCAAGACACTGTATCTCCTGTTTTGCAGATTTAACATACTTTATACAGTGAGGTGGACAGGAGGGGAGGAGAGGTACAGTATCACTCTTAAGAGTGTAGGCTATCCGAGAACTCACAGCAATCCTCCTGCCTCAGCTTTCTAGGCAATGTAAGGCATGAACTACCACACCCAGCTAACTTCTAATACCACCTTAACCTTTTGAGAAAAAAAATACACCAGAACTGATTTGTATGCCTTCTTTGGGCACTTACACTCCACTGTCAAAAATAAAATTTTCCTTTATTGTGAATTTCTATGCATAGCTTATGAATTTGAAAGCACATATTGCCTACTTGGATATAAACAGATGAAATTAAAATTTATATTCTGGGACAATAAGTTAGCTCATGGGGTAAAAGCACTTGCCACCAAGCCTGACAGCTTGAATTCAACTCCAAGGTTCCATGTGGTGGAAGGAGAAACTAATTTCAGAAAGTTGTTCTTTGACTTTCACACGTGCACACACGCACACACTCCCTCACATTCTATTTCTGTGTCTTTTTTTTTTTTTTATGGTTTGGGTGCTATAAGGGACATACTGGGAAAATCTTAGTAGTAGAGAACTCCTCTGTCTTAGATATACCCTGCCCATTGTTTTTAAATCTTAAAAATCTGTATTGTTTTTGAGTAGTTTTGTTTATATGTGTCAAAATGAACTAGGTAGCAAGAGTCCAAGTGTAACAGTAAAGGCGCAAATTTACCTTCACAGTTTCTAAGTCACCAGCTTTTGATGCTTCCAAGAGTCGATAGTCCACATCGGAAGTGCGGATAGGAGTGCTCTCTGTATCAAAGAAAGGAAGGATTATTGTCAGCCTTGGGTACTGCAGGAAGCTAGGGAAGGAAGAGTGCAGAGTGAGGGAGAAGAGCTTAAGTGGTTGAACAGTACTGTGATATAATGACCATTTCTCCAATTTTACTCAGCTAAGTTCTTTTTTCTCCAATTTACATTTGATCGAAGTCAAATTTAAATACAATATAACACTGAGAAACACTTTTATACTCCACTAATCTAGTCACCACATGCTCTGCTTCAAAGGGGAGTGAGGAAAGCTGGAACCAGGAGATCAAAAATATCTCCAGACTTTCCAAAGCCTGTGTAACTGGGAGAAACAGTAACAACGCTAAATGGAATGTATCAAGTTGGGCTGTTACATTTGGATGCTTACTAGTCAGGTATTTTGATTAATCAAATGTAAAAAAACAAGAACTTATTCAACATTGGTCTTTTAAAGAGAAAAGATCCAATGCGTTCATACAAAACCTGGCCTTCAGGACATACACACCAGTACAGAAAGGATCATGCGGCAGGACACCAGGACCTTGGGCTCCATGTGGACTTGGGAGGATATTTCAGATATTTTTTATAGTTATTAGTGGCCAGGGTACATGTGCCATGATACGCAGATGGAGGTCGAAGATTAGTTTTCAGGAGTCAGGGCTCTCCTTCCATCATGGCTCTGGAGACTGAACTCAGTTGTCAGTCTTCCTCAGCAAGTACTTTTTTAAAATTAGTTACAGTTTATTAACTTTGTATCGCAGCTGTATCCTGCTCCCTCATTCCTTCCCAATCCCACCCTCCCTCCCTCTGAGACGCCTCCCTGCCCCTTTCCAAGTCCACTGATAAGGGAGGACCTCCTCCCCTTTCATCTGACCCTAGCTTATCAGGTATCTTTAGGCCTGACTGCAAAGTCCTCCTCTGTGGCCTAGTAGAGATGTTCCTCCCTCGGGGTGGGGGGTGAGGGGAGGTCAAAGAGCCAACCATTGAGTTCATGTCAGAAATAGTTCCTGTTTCCCTTACTAGGGAACCCACTTGGATATTGAGCTACCATGGGCTACATCCGAGCAGGGGTTCTAGGTTATATTCATACATGGTCCTTGGTTGGAGTTCAGCAAGCACTTTAACCATGGAGCCATCTTGCCAGCCCAATGCCTTAGGTTTTGCATTTTAAGAGTGAAAGCTGGTTTCCCTCAAAGTCTCTTTAAGGTTTAAGATTGTATTACATTATGATCAGAGATACTGAGTTCACGGTCCAAGTGAGAAGATCAAGTGTGCCATAAAAGGATTTAGATTTAAAAAGAAATGCTTTATTTTTGCACAGTGCTTTGTTCGGAAGGGTTGACTTTCATAGACAGGTTATAAGAATTCTTCAGTAGAAGACAAACTATTTGATCACATTAATAACACTTAGCAGATAAAACACTAAGATTAAAGCAGATAAAACACCAAGACTAAAGAGGAAAAAAAAAAAAAGAGTATCTCAAACAATGAAGTACATTTTAAAATTATTTCTCTCCAAAGAAAGTGTTAATAGCATATTTGCTAGTCTGTGGAATTGCTAAGGACTGGAATCAGAGCCTTGCTCCTTTTTACATTTCCTTCACAAAAACAGCAATTCAAAAGGTATTTGCCAAGGTGATTTCTGGGCTAGTTCATACCAGAGGCAATGTGTCAAACCCTAGTTCTGCCTGTATTCACAGACTTTCTGGCCACCAGTCTGCATTCTAACAGTGCATGTGTCCAGGTGAGGCTGTTCTGCCACACACATTCTACCACGTCTCTGTGAGAGTGATTTTAGCAACAGAGAACTCAGAGAAACGTTTTGTGTCACACCATGCTGATGGGCAACGACTAAGAAGTGCCATTTTCTAGTCAAGCAAAGTATCTGGCGTACATACCAGAATGCTTCTAAGAACTACATACAGGAAAGGTCAAAAGGTAAAGTCAAAGATGCTGATTTATTATGATAACAACTGTGGGGTTCTCAATCTGTATAAATTTAAAAAACACGCTTAGAACAAACTTATTTTTAGAAATAATACAGCAGGGCATGGTAGGCAAATGCCGGCTATTGAAGTACGTGAGGCAGGAACATCACAAATCCAAGGCCTGTCTAACCTACAGAGCGAGTTCATGAGTAGAAAGACTCTGTCTCAAGATTAAAAAGCAAAAAGAGAATGTAGAAATAGTAATATAAAAACACACAGTATCCTCTTCTAAGTATGAAGTAGCTCAGTCAGCTCTATTATTTGTATTATCTTTTTAGGTCAACAATGAACACAGACAACTGAGTCCTACCATTTCCTAAATTAAGCATTTGATTAGCTATACACATCACAAATCAATTTTAGAGTAGAATTATAAAAGCAACTGAAACTTTTTATTTATGATTCAGTATTCAATTCCATTTCCCCCAGAAGTCATATATTTGAAATGCATTTACTTAGAAGGCATTTTAAAGGTATTAAATGGATCCAATTTGTTGGATTTATTTGATGCTTCATCCCCATTTTGTTAACCACTGTTAAAATTTATATACAGTATTGTGAGAAACTGATGCAGTGGATGTTTGTTTATTTATAGTTATAACTCACAGAAAGTAAAATTCCATAGTGAATCATCCAGCAAAAAGTACAAAAGGCTATTTCATAAAAACCCCAATTTACAAAATGATTACAATTTCTTGAGAGAGCTGTTTCCTACTTGGGGAGCAGTATCTCATCTTCCTGCAGCAGCTACCCCGCTGCTCTGCAAAAGGCAGGTGTTTAATAGTCCCATTTAAAGCCCTAGCCACAGTTTGCTAGTGCAGACTAGTGGAAAAGCCAATGGTGAGGGAGAAGAGTAAACGTATTGAAATTCTTTCGCATCCAGTTCCCACGTTTTCAGTAGGTTGTTACTTCTAATTTTGGGAGTTAGGAAGTCAGTGCCTATTTTCCGATCAGTTTTATTCCTCATCTGGGTCAACAATCTAAAAGCTGAAGTGGAATGATTGGCACATAAGAATAAACTGTGGAGGGAAAAAAAAATCCTTATCTGAATTTTCAAGGTTGCAAAATTATTTCTTGAGACTGCTTCCCTCATGCAGCATTAACACACTGATCACTACCATATGCCTTGAAATTTTCTGTGCTTCTCAACTGAGCTGTATTTCTTGGGAGCCCTTAAAAAAAGTGGTATATTTACACAATGGAATACTACTCAGCAATTAAAAACAAGGATATCATGAAATTTGTAGGCAAATGGTGGGAACTGGAGAAGATCATCCTGAGTGAGGTATCCCAGAAGCAGGAAGAGACACAGGATATACACTCACTTATAAGTGGATATTAGACACATAATATAGGATAAACATGCTAAAACCTGTGCACCTAAAGAAACTAATCAAGAAGAAGGACCCTGGGTAAGGTGCTCAATCTTCATTCAGAAAGGATTGGATATCAGAAGAGAGAGAAAACAGGGAACAGGACAGGAGCCTATCACAAAGGACCTCTGAAAGACTCTACCAAGCTGGGTATCAAAGCAGATGCTGAGACTAATAGCCAAATTTTGGGCAGAGTGCAGGGAATCTTATGAAAGAAGGGGGAGGTAGAAAGACTTGGAGGGGCCAGGAGCTCTACAAGGAGAGCAACAGAACCAAAAAATCTGGGCACAGAGGTCTTTTCTGAGACTGATACTCCAAATAAGAACCATATATGGAGATAACCTGAACAGATGTAGCCCTTGGCAGCTCAGTGTCCAAGGGGTTCCCTAGTAATGGGAAGAGGGACTGTCTCTGACATGAACACAGGGGCCGGTCCTTGATCACCTCCCCCTGAGGGGGGAGCAGCCTTACCAGGCCACAGAGGAAGACAATGCAGACAGTCCTGATGAGACCTGATAGGCTAGGGTCAGATGGAAGGGGAGGAGGACCTCCCCTCTCAGTGGACTGGGGGAGAGGGATAGGAGAAAAAGAGGGTGGAAGGGTGGGATTAGGAGGGGACGAAGGAGGGGGCTACAGCTGGTATACAAAGTGAACAAACTGAAATAAGTAAGTAAATAAATAAATAATGAATGAATTTGTGTAGTAAATTCTCGTCTCCTAGCATTACTACATCCATACTATCACACAATTGTAAGATTTATTGTAAATTACTACCATTTTCCTCCTCATATTCAGATCTTTTAGTAGAGATGTGTAGGAAGTTTTTCTGTAGATTTTTGAATAGTTAGGTCATGTATCAGATAATCTTAAGAATTTTACTCATGGACAGAGGGCATCATAAGATCTCTGCTGTAATAAAAGGAGGCACTGGGCCTACAGAGCTTAGGCATACTGTAGCCAGATTTCTAGTCTGTACTATTTCCCATGTTCCCATGTTATTCTTTCAGTTTCTGTCTGTCTACAGCAATGGAACCCAGACAAAGGCCAATAGGTGAGAAAGAAAGAATTGAAATTCTTTAGTATCTAATTCCTAACTTTTCACAAGGCTGTTACTTCTAATTTTGGGAGCTAGAAAGTCATTGTCTATTTTACTCTCAGTTTTGTGATCGATATCTGTCAACAAACTAAATGAAATATCACAGACTGTAGTGGGCATTAACTGTGAAATTCACCAAAAGATGATAATTACATTTAAATTAGCAAAAGCAGAATAGTTAAGAATGACAAGTAGTCAGACCACTTACTATACATGTAAGAACAATTAAAGGTCTTTGCTATAGAAATTTAACTTTTTCTCCATTTGATAGACTGTATAGCTGCCATAATTTTAGCTTGTGCCCTATTTTCAATTTCAACCAACCAACCAACCAACCAACCTAAAAATGGTGTAGACCTCTTCTCCTGACAACTCTTCATCCCATCACAAAACAGACAGGGAGACTATGGCTAAACCATAAGCAAGGGAAGGTTAAGAACACATTCAGGTCAAGAAAATAGCTGAAGAAGCTACTCGAAAAAGGAGGCACAGTCTACTTGTGGAGAGGACTGGGGAGTGGAGGCAGGCCATGTAACTCACCACTCAGAATCTGCTGCACCGCTTCGTTCCCCATCTGCGCTGCTGTGAAGCCTTGCAGGGAGATGATGGAGGGGTCAGAGCCGTAGCTCAGCAGGAGACGGCAGGTCTGCAGGTGGCCCGCTAAGGCAGCTCTGTGCAGTGCAGTCTGACCAAGGCTGTCGAGTGCATTCATCTGGAAAAGCATTGGGTGTCCGTGTGAAACTGGGCATTCTTTCACACTGTGGCAAATCTGCTCTCAAGAGTCTGCTGTGAAACTTTTTTGGAAAATGTAACTGATAGCCAATACCTTTTACTCACTGGTGCTGTACTACAGAAATAGTGAGTCTTGGGAGGAAAAAAATCCACAAAACACTCTTGACTTTCCTAAATAACCCTCTTTCTACCACTCCACTCAAAGAAAAAAAAAGTCTGCGAGGGCTGGGATTCTTACCCAGTGTTCACTGCTTGTCACACTGGAGATACTCACCAAACACCTCAGAATGAACAGCCCCGATCATGCTAAGACAACAGACATAGACACAAAAGACTAGCAATGTAGCTCATTACATTTTCTTTTCATTTTAGGGAATGCCTTAAATTCTGGTTGAGTATCCCTAATCAGAAGTGTTTCCAATTTCAAATTCTTTTATGTTTGGGAGTATTCACAAATAAACAATATCTTAGAAAAAGGACATGCATCTAAATACAAACTTAATTTGTTTCATAAATGATCTGCACACATAAGCTGAAGGCAACTCAGTGTTTGCATGCCTGTGCTGTGCCTGTGGTATATTACATGAGTTTGGGTGTGGAATTTTCTATCTGTGTGATGCTGAGAATTCCAAAGTGTTGATTTTGAAGCACTGGAGATTTACTTTCAGGCCATGGATATACATCTGCAACAGACACCTTAATTATAAACACATGTGACTGGGAACTACCCTGAGGGTTCAATGTTTCACTTTTAAACCTTTACGACTGAATATAGTAGAGAGTAATCTAGCACTGGCTTAAACTTCAGCTTTTGGGTCACATTCATAATTTGTTCAAACCTAACTAGCCTAGTATTTTAGAATGTTCTAGTAAACACCCGTCACTCTAGCCAGATCAGAGTCTATTCTCAACTGTACATGCTGCTTTTAGAGATTCCCTCTCCAAGTCCCCCCTAACTAACTCCCTTTCTGAACATATGCCCTGACTCCATACATAAGCACTTACTACACCATTGGGGTAATTTTTCATTAAGTTCAACTAATGTTGAAAATATGGACTGTCTTCTTGAAAGGTCCTAATCATGGAATAATAGCAAAATCTCAGATAGAAGCTAGTTGTTCAAGACATTTTGTACCTCCCACACCAGTTAAAGGTCAGGATGTAAGAGAAATGGTTTCTTTGTTTCTGGTTCTTCATCAGTATTTGTAAAGCTGTGGTACTTGTTCACATAAAGGTTCATTTACATTTTTAATGGTTTTCACAAAATTCACCGTGATATGGTTATCATAATTTAATTTTATTGTATTTTCCAGCAGGAAAAAAAAAAGACTTTATACATAATAACAGAAAGGAACTGTTGTAAGTATTTACTTCTCAATGGAAAACATAAGATGGCAAACTAGAGGTTTTGTGTGAATGTTACTTCATTTTAGAAGAATACACCCAGAAACACAAACATCCTAATTACTCACACTTTTCTGGAAATTAGATGAGACATACTCAATTATACAGCTTTAAAATTACTAACAATGAACTCCAATTTAGCTTGTCAAGTCATGTAAATATAAATATAGTTTTGAGAGCTATTCTTCTAAATAGATTTTACCAAGTTAAGCTCTCAAATTAATGGCTCTAGACCCTCAAATAAAGGCAAATCCTTTAGCAAACAAATGTTATGGGCTAAAGAGAAGGATGTAAAAGTTTTCTGTAAATCTAAGAACAAGCACCTTCACTTCCGGTGTTGAAGGAGATCAACAGAACAAAGAACACTGTGTCTTCTGAGAGTAAGGCTGGTGGAACTGAGTGCTGTGGCAGATGGCCATTCACAACCCCTTACTCATTCACACACTCTGGAAAACTTCATGTCTTAACAATGAGTAAAATTTATAATGTACCAATGATTCTAAGAACTAATTTATAACAGGGATTTTTAAAACTTAGTTTAAAAGGTTTCATTTCATAAGGACTGACTGAAAACATTGGAGTTGGTCATATACTGAAATTTTATATTCTACTTTCTATACATATGAGATATTTACATATTCATTTAAGGGAGTCCTTGTTTTGATATCTTAGAAATTTGTTTTTTACTTTCCACATAACTTTATTTATTGAATAAATTAATATTTCATCAATATGTACATAACCACAAAGATCTTAGAAAATTTTATATCCACAAAATAAAAGACACTAATGCAATGAAAAAGCATTTATTTTAACAAATATATATTTTAAATTATGAAAGGATATTATAGTCCTTTCCTCAAAGTCTAAGAAATATTATCTACCAAAGACTATCCATGAAGTACTTTATCCAGCAACCAAGTTGAAGTAAAAAAGTTATGAGTAAAGCATTCACTCAATGAGATAAAGAGAAAAGCCTAGAACAATTTGTTGATAGTCTGTTTATACAGCCCACTTAGAGCACTACTGTGTAACAGACGGAGAAAATAGTAAGCAGGCTTTTTCCACTATTTTAAACATTTTCATTAATTTAATTATGTGCACATGTGCCTACACAGTATCAGATTCCCTTGGAGCTTGGGCTACAGGCAGTAAGCCACCTCATGTGGCCAATGGCAACTCAAGGCCCAGGAAGAGTACTGGGCCACCTCTGGGATTACTCTAGGCGAGAGAAGGCAATGCTATAGCTTTCTCAGGGAGGCACGCACAGAAGGAACTTCATAAGTCTGAGGGCTGTCCTGCTCATACAGCAGTTTCTAAGCTGGCGAGGAGTGCATGGTGAACTCTCCCCCAAACAAATGAGCAACAAAACCACCACCAAAAAAAGCAACAGATCTGCCCCGCCTCCATTCTCTCCCTGAATCCTTGGGTTTCACAGCCCCAAGAACCCCCTAAAATGGTTTGAGACCAAATCCTAACTTCCTCAACCACTACAAATATTTAACATTCAATGTTAAACAGATTATTTTTTACTAAAGTTTGAAACTGCCTCCAAAAGAAGAAAATGCTTCATTTAAGGTTACATACTCAACAGTGCTAACAATTCTTAAGCCACGGATTTATATGTCATGATGGCCAATTTGATTGTGAATTTAACTGTACTAAGCAAATGACTAAGTAGTTAATAATCGGTAAAGCAAACTTGTAGGTGTGTCTGTGGGCACTTTTCTACAGTTGACTAGATTATAAGGGAATGTGTTAATCCACTGACTCAAAATCTGGAGGCTACTAGGAGCTGGCACTGTGGAAAGCCATGGGTTGGCAGGAGGAGCAGGTCACTAGGGGTGTGTCCTATGTGCCTGTATCTTGTTAGTGCTCTACTCTGCTTCCTGTGTGGCATGACGTGGCTACTCCAGCACGCTCTCCTGCCACAACAGACTGAACCTCTGAATACTGAGCAAAATACACTTTTCCTCCCTTGTGTGGAATTTCTGTCAGGTATACTTGTTCAGAAGGTGCTACTAGATTGTATGAAAATCATGGGTCATTTAAAAACTAAATAGAAAGCACAGAAAGGAAATACTAAGCAAAGAAAATATGGGCCAACAGTAGGCAAGAAAAAATTTACAAATACATGAACAACTGAGTGCGGCCACCCTGTGGGTTTAGCACTGGATCTGCCTTGGGATCCAGGAGCAAGTACAAGGAAGTTGATATAGTTCCCCCACCTCCAGCCCCCTCTGGCTTGCCTAGAGCTTACTGTGTACTACTGATGACAACTTGTATTATTTTTGTCTTTAAAGGAACCAATAACAATTTGCTTGTTATAGTGAAAGGCCAGGAAGGACATACTACTTTTGAAGTCGTTCTGTATCACTGGCAGAATGTTTTCAGTTACAGAAGCCCATTCCTGAACTAAGACGCTGATAATAAAAACACATTATGCACATGAATGGCCACTAAGAACTGAGAACCTCAGACCTACACAATGCCACTGAGCAAGACTATACAAAAGCTTATTTTTCTCCAACCAAGGACCATGCATGGAGATAACCTAGAACCCCTGCACAGATATAGCCAGGGCAGCTCAGTGTCCAGGTGGGTTCCATAGTAATGGGGACAGGACTGTCTCTGACATGAACTGATTGGCCTGCTCTTTGATCACCTCCCCCTGAGAGGGGAGCAGCCTTACCAGGCTGACAATGCAGCCACTCCTGATGAGACCTGATAGACTAGAATCAGAAGGAAGGAAAGGAAGACCTCCCCTATCAGTGGACTGGGGGAGGGCCATGCGTGGAGAAGGGGGGAGGGAGGAAGTGGGAGGGGAGGTGGAAGGATACAAAGTGAATAAAGTGTAATTAATAAAAATTTAAAAAAAGAAAAAAGCTTATTTTTCATGACTTTTCTGAAAAAAGAAAAAAGCCTTATAGGTGACAACAAATTTTAAAAATGAAGAATATTATTAATGGCTTGCACGAGTAATATAAATGTCAAAATACTCACAAAAATCAGACCAATGACAAAAATAATTCCCACATGTGTAAGTGAAAGCCCTCAAGAGGGACTGCCTCTGACATAATCTGATTGGCCTGCTCTTTGATCAACTCCCCCAAGGGGAGAGCAGCCTTACCAGGCCACAGAAGATGACAATGCAGCCACTCCTGATGAGATATGATAGACTAAGATCAGAAGGACGGAGAGGAGGACCTCCCTTAGCAGTGGACTTGGGGAGGGGCATGCATGAAGAAGGGGGAGGGAGGGTGGGACTGAGAGGGGAGGAAGGAGGAGCTTATGGGGGGATACAAAGTTAATAAAGTGTAATTAATAAAATAAAATTAAATTAAAAAAAGAGAAAGCCCTCTTAGCTTATATTAATTTCTACTTGACATAACATGTTGTTTATATAACAATGGCATAGTTGTAGCTACAAAGTTGGTAATAAATCTGTACAACTCTTGTCTTTTATTCTAACTTACCTTGATTTTAATTAAAAATATCAAATATCCTTTTAAAGAAAATTTTTCGATCACATGTATAGCAAATTAAAACAATTTACTGTATGTAATCTTGTTCATTTTTAAAGTATAACCAAGTAGTGTAGTAAATACACAAACCTGGAAAGTACATAAGGGGAAATGCAAGAGGCAGGAAGGAGTAATGAAAGCTGACAGGAGATTTTCATTACTATGGTGTAAATTATCATTTAGCTCTATTAAAGAGTATTTTAATTGTTTTTTAAAGAATATATATATATATATATATATATATATATAGTTATAGTTATAGTTATAGTTACTGTTGTTTTGTTTTTGTAGACAGGTTTTCTCTGTGCAGCTCTGGCTGTCCTGGAACTTGCTCTGTAGATCAGGCTGGCCTTGAATTCAGAGACCCTCCTGCCTGTCTCCCGAGTGCTGGGATTAAGGGTGTCCACCACAGCCCAACAAGATTTTATTTTTAATTGAGTGTATGTTATATGTCTCTGTGTGGGAATGTGCACATGAATGCAAGGTACCTATGGAGCCAGAGGCGTCCTGGAGCTGGAGGTAGAGGCAACTGTGAGCTGCTCAACATGAGTGCTAAGAATGGACTCAGATCCACTGCCACCTTTCAATCTTCCAGAGAATTATGATGTAAAGAGGCAAGGTCACAGCTCAGGTGTGACACTTGATTCCAACAGGTTTTATTAGTTGAGGAGATTTCTTTCTTTTTTTATTGTTTATTATTATTATTATTAGTTACATTTTATTAACTCTGTATCCCAGCTGTACCCCACTCCCTTATTCCCTCCCAACCCCACCCTCCCTCCCTCAGCTTCTCCCTGCCCCTTTCCAAGTCTATGGATTGGGGAGGACCTCCTCCCCTTTCGTCTGGCCCTGTTTTATCAGGTATCTTCAGGGCTGGCTGCGAAGTCCTCCTCTGTGGCCTAGCAGAACTGTTCCTCCCTTGGGGGGTGAGGAGTCAAAGAGCCTGCATTGAGTTCCTGTCAGAGATAGTCCCTGTTCCCCTTACTATGGGAAGCCAATTGGCTACTGAGCTACCATGAGCTTCGTCCGAGTAAAGGTTCTAGGTTATATCCATACATGGTCCTTGGTTGGAGAAGTTGAGGAGATTTCATACACAAGTGGAGCCTATCAAAAAAAGTATTATTAACTATGTTTACTAAATAGTAATATTTTTATTTTTAGTGTGATTATTAAATTATACTAAGGCTTCATGGAAAAATCTGATAGGCAAGGTTTTGCAAAAACTACCTAAACAGAAAACAGAAAACCTTTGTAAATAGATTAGAAGGTTATGTTTTAATGTTCTTAAATTATGAAGTTATGATGGTGGCTATGCTGGTTAAGTCATTTCTGCTCACTTGTCAACTTAACACTAGCATTATCTGGGAAGAAGGAACCTTGGTTAAGAAAATTCCTCCATCAGATTGGGCTGTGGGCAAGTCTGTGGGTAACTTTCCTGATTAATGATTTATCTGGCAATGCCCAGACTATTTTGTGTGGTGCTACCCCTGGGCAGGTAAAGTTCTGAGTTGTATTAAAATGCAAGCTGAGCAAGGCACAGAGAACAAGCCAGTGTGCAGCATTCATCCATTGCCTCAGCTCCAGTTCCTTCATCCAGGTTCCTTCATTACTCCTACACATACAGTATCTTCAAAATGGCATATGTTTCTGTGAATAGCTGAATGGCAGAGTACTTGTCTAGCATGTGTGAGATCACAGGTTCAAAAAATCAAACAACTAAATCTACACAACCCACCTTCCACTAAATAATGTATATTTCCATGTTTTAAAACAATGCCTTATTTTTATTATGTGCATGGGTATATTATCTGTGTGGGTATATGCCATGTGCTGGCACCCAGAGAGGGTGTTGGAGCCCCACTGTCTGGAGTTACAGGTAGTTGTGGGCCACTTGATGTAGATGCTGAGTACTGATTTCAGGTCCTCTCCAACAGCACAAAGCATCTTGCCCTCTTTACCTGGTTTCCTGGTTTTGACAGGAAGTGTTCCTCAACCACACTCATGTTGGGGGTATGGTTCTCTGACAATGGCACCACTATGAGAGGTTTTGAGAAAGTCAAAACCTCTTTTGAGAAGATGGGACGTGGTTGGATGGCAAGGCTCCTTTAAGACGCCCTATTCCTGGTCTTATCCTACTTTCTGTTTCCTGTCTTTGACAAGTAACTAGCATTCCTGTGTGGCATGCTTCCACTCTCATGGCTTTCTACCTAAGTGCACAGGGCTAAGTGACCACTAACTAACCAAACCTCCTCAGATCATGAGCAAAATCATTTTTGAGCCATTTCTGCCAGGTGTCTGATTGCAGTGATGTGAAAAGTAACTAGAACAAATGTAGAGGAGCTGAGCTGCATTTCAAGACAGTAGTCAGCTGCCTACTGCTTTCTAGGAGACTACGAGGAAAGAACAAAGAAACAACTGTAGGAGGAAAAAATGAAACCAACTTCGAGAACCTATGACTTTAAACACGAAATTCACAAACTGTCCTTTCTGAAGAGGGTGAGCTTCCTGGGGACTCAAGTTCTGAGGCAGCAGGCTGCCTTGTGCTGACTTAGGGCTTACCTTTGCTCCATGCTTATGCAGAACTTCCATGACGTCATTGTGAGCTCTTTCAGCTGCGACATGCAAAGGGGTCATGAAACTATGGGAAGGAGAAAAGGAAAGAGAATTTTATGACTTTTACTCTAACAACTCTCTGTAGCTAATGGTTGTTGACAGATGGGTTCTTTTCTTTAGTGGTATCATCATGCTGTTGCGTATGCTCATCCAAGCCACCCTAATTAAACTTAGTGAGTCACCGAAAACCAAGACAAGGCAAACACGACAACAGCAAGTCATGAAACTAGGAAGGGGACCTGTGGGGAAGAAGGGGTGCACACTGTGGGCAATGGTGAGAGGGGGAGGAGTGGGCAATGGGGAGAGGCTGAATAACCAAGTTACCTTACATACATGTACGAAATAGTCAAATGAAGAAGGAAAAGCATTCTTGTAACTACTTACTCCTTGTTTTTTTCGTTGACATTGGCTCCTTTCCTAAGTAACAGTTCTGCTACCTGCTTTCGTTTGGGATGCAAGGAGGCCACAGCACAGTGCTATAACACAAACAAAATTCACTTTAAGAACAACAAAATTCTACTTAAACGTGAACTCCTGAATAAATCAGCAGCTGGAGCTATTTGGGACAGTGTAATGCCAAAATGCATCAGGGCATAATGATTCATATTCCTTTTCAACACATTGGGAGTGCAAACCAAGTGAAACTGTATTCTTAATTAGGCATTAGTAGACTTCATTTCTTTTCCTTCAGTCAATAAATACTAAACATATATTTCATTGAAGGCATTGGAACACTGAATTTTCAAAGCTATGGAACTCTATATAGAATCACTCAAGCCACCTCTAGTCTGTCAGCTATAGAAGTCAGTGTTTTTCGGTTATTCCACTGACACATAGGCAGAACTCACGAGGATCAACTGATTTACTCAGGATTGGTGAGGACATGTCATCTTGAAGCAGTGTAAAGGAACCGATATTCTCAGAGACCTTATGTTCTATCCTTGAATTTATATAACTTATATTTTGCTCCACCTTACACAGATGACTAAATAGTTTGAAAAATAAAACTAATCACAACTGAACAAATGAAATACCCAAAGCAGCAGGTCAAAGATTTTTATGGAGCTGGGGATCACACTCTGTGTTTCTGGACCTCCGGGCCTAGCATGCTGTAGACATGATCTGGGCTTGATGGTTTTAAATTTAATTGGCCCATTTCAGTTTGGTTAATCTTTTAATGGTGTTTTCAGCAGAATGGGCTAAACGACCTTTCTGAGCCACACAGTTTTAAGAAAGTTAAATGAAGTATATTTAACAGTCTATGATATAAGAACCATGTATGCTTAAGTTCTGAAGTTAGGGGCAGACACTAACCAGCTCAACATTTATTCCTTAATGTGCTTAATGACACAAAATAAGTGAGAGTACTGAGAGAGTACCGGGTGGAAAGAAGGAGAGCTTTAAAGGTAATTTATACAGTCAGGACCTGAAAGTTCATTTTTAACATTTCCTCACATGAAAATACTCTGTTATTTGAATGCAATTACTCCAAGGGATAATGCAAATATCCATGAAACCATATTTTCTACAGAAAACAGATACAATATTTATCTAGTAAGCACACCCCAAAGAGAAGATTTTATCACATCACACTTTTTGCATTATAATGAAAGCACTGAACACAAAAGTAATTTGTCACAATAAGCTTGGGTGAACACAGAGATAAAATGGGTCTAAATCATGGCTGAGGAAATATCTAGTCCCTCACTCACAAAGAATCATGACCAAGACGAAGTTAAAAATCAGTGCAACCAACATTAAAATGCAAATTGCTGGCATTTCAGAGAGCTTCTGAAATGAAAAGCATTATTTAATCTTGCACCACTATTACAACCCCAGGGAACATCTGGGTGACATCATCTTACCAGTGCTGTTTCGTGAGACTGTGGCTGCTTGAAGTTAATAATTTCCAAAGCAAGAGTTTTTTTAACTTTGGCCAGGTCTGCTTCTCTGGCAGCTTGTAGTAAAGAGTGGCCTTTAAATTCATCTGCCAATGAAACAATAGTTGACATGTGGTTTTCTAAGTTATAATCAACTCTGGAAGGCATGATGTGCAACCTGCAGTCCCAGCACTTGGAGGGCTGAGGTAGGAAGAGTGCCAAGTAGAGGCTAGACTGGCCTACAAAGTGAGTCTGAGGCCAGCTTGCGCGAGACCGCCTCAAAAAAAGTATTTTAAGCAGAAAAATTACTAACTTTGCATGCATCTCTATCTTATCTAAAATAGTAATATAAAGTTGTGACTACATAAAGAATGCAGGTACAGGTTAAGAAAAAGGTTTGAAATATAAATACTCTTAAATGAGACTTTCATACTGTCAGAATTGATGGCAAGTTACACAGAAAAGCACTTACTTTTGCAGTTATCTAAATGTTCACCAAAAAAAAAAGCATCTAAGCCATCAGTGAACATACCCGGAGCACTTTACAACTCTGAAATAACACACAGATCTCTATACACTGTTAAGGAGGAAAGACGGGGTGTTCCCATTTTTTACACTGTTCTGTTCTTCCTGTTCCTGCTGCCATCGGAATTAAATTTAAGTCATGGAACAGAAAACAATGTTTAGAGAAAAAGTAAAAATAATAACAACACATAACAGAATTGAAATGTTTGGGAACTGCCAGAATAACTACCTACCTAAGAATGATTTTAATTTTTATTTTCTATTTTATAAACTTGGTTTTATTTTATACATTTTTATTAACAAAGAGCTGAAAATTGTTCTAAAAATACGCAAATGAAATAAGACTAATGCATAACCAATTTAACTGTTCTAACATTTGGACTTTTGCACCTGCATGGCACTGTGCTGTTACTTCTTTCGTGTGAGGACCCCACCACATTCCCTTCTCTCTAAAGACAGAGAGGGATGCAGACAGCACTGAAGGCCTCAGCTGAGACACTCTGGACATGCCTCCCTATAACCCATTACTGAGTACTTTCAGTTAGGATCACAGTACTTGTAACTAGCCTGGCACCACTGTCATATTTATTCACCCACTGCAACTTTATCACTTCGCATAGAGTTGGAGTTGGACACATAGTAGGTTCTTAATAAACATTTGTTATCAGTTCAATATTTGCACACTATGCTGTGGTTACTTCAGGAAATGAACCATTTCTACATGACCTTTCTATTTAAAATTCTTTAAGTGTGTGCGCGTGTGTGTGTGTGTGTGTGTGTGTGTGTGTGTAAGAGAGAGATGTGTGCGTAAAGCTGTGTATAGATGTCAGAGGAGAACTTTTAGGAGTTTGGTTTGTTTTTGTTTTTGTCCACAGTGGGTCTAGGGAATCAAACTCACATCATCAGGTTTGTATGGGAAGCGCTTTTACTGGTTGAGCCATCTTGGAGTCCTATTTCATGATTCTTTTAACTGTTAATTTCTCAATGTGTAATACTAAAACTTCTGGAACAATACACAAGATTAAGTGAGATAATAAGGTAAACCAGTGACAAAATTTAATATTTTGATTTAATGTTACAAGCAGGGGCTAACAAAGTCAGGGAATTATAGCAGGCACATGTAAAGAGCAGGCTCCTGATGACTACAAGGGGCAGGTGTATGCAGAAGTGGGAGTAAGCAAGCTGCAGAGCTTTGCTAAAGTGAGCACTTAAGAGAAATTTAAGCTGAAGGCAAGTGACATTGTCTTTAGTGACAAGCACTCTATAAACACCAACATGATAAAGGCAGTTTGGTTTTTTCTATTGTATAGGAAGGAATGGTGGCTCGGAAAAAACCGAGCAAACTTACGGAAAATAAATAGTAAAACTGGAGTCCTAAGGACGGAAGAACTATGACACAGTAATACAATTAAATAGCATACTATTTCCTATACAAAATATTCCTTATCTGTGCTCTTAGAAGACTTTTCTGACCAGATTGATTTTAAAAATGAAAATATTGTATTGAGGAATAGTTATGATTAAAAAGCAACAACCCTGGAAATTGAATGTCTATTAACTAAGAAAATATTACAAAAATTTAAATACAAAAGGCTAAACAAGAATTAGCTAATTACTTAGCTAACTAACTAACCTGATTTTTCAAAGCAGGGTTTCTCTGTATAGCTTTGGCTGTCCGGAAACTCATGTTGTAGACCAAGCTGGCCTCGAACTCAGAGACCCATGTTTTCTTCTTGAGAGCTGGGATTAAAGCTGTGTGCCAGCACCACATAGCAAGAATTTATTTTAAAGTTTTATCTTTATTAATTTTTTTATGTGTGTCTGTGTGTGGGTATGTGTACTTGTGTAGGGTGCTCAGGGAGACACTGGATCCCTGCAGCTGGAGTTATAGGTGGTTATGAGCCAATCCACAACAGCTGTGACCAGTCCCACAAGAGTGCTAGAATCAGGTCCGCTTAACTGCTTGGCATCTCACCAGTCCTCAGTGTTTGTTTTAGACCCTCAAAGACATTATACACTTTAAAAGACACTAAACTACACATAAACTATGAAACCTGACAATTTTCATATTCTAGAAGCTTACTTTTCTAAAAGTATTTTAAATAAGAATGAGACTCAGATGACCTCATTTATTGGTCTTATAAAAAGCATAAAATCAAGGAAGGGGATAAGTATGTAGAATGATGCAGCTGTAATAACGGCACAGTGTAAGCAGTATTTCTGTTTCCTGCATAATCTTCTTTGGGGTGTGTAGTGCTTATGTACCTAAGTATGCATGGAGGCCAGATGAAGTGTCCTGATCCTCTGCGGGCCTCTCTGAACTCGGAGCTGGAGCCCACGGTAGTCCTTCCCACACCTAGGCGGGCAGGCAACAGGCTGCAGTCTGTCCTGTCTCCTTCCCACACAGCCTGGGCATGACAGGCACATGTAAAACATGTAAAGCAAATGGTTAGGTGAGCACTGGGACCAAAATCCAGTTTCTTGTGGATGCACCACAAGCACTCCTAAACACTGAGCCATTTCTCAAGCCTTCTGTAGAATTGTCTTTAAAAAAATTCATACTTGAAGGCCAATTACAAAGCAGAAATCATAACACTGAAAAGTATAGCTAGAGAAGACCCTTAACCTTAAATCCTTCCTTCCCCATAAATCTTGGTAGAATCTTATTTAATAAAAATTCTTAGTAAGAAAATTGAACACAGCTAAGAAACTGCTCCCTATAAAAAAAGCTACACAATTTAGGTAAATAGAAAAAAACAATTCTACAATAGAATAAAACAATCTAATAAAATAATGTCATGACTTCTGATAAGACTCCTAATTTATAAAATGTTGAGTTGAATAAAGGGACAATGACAGGGATAAATATGACCATTATATAAAATTAAAAAAAGAAACTAGAAAACAGTATATATCTTCTGAGTAGAGTCATATTAACTGGCTGAAGTTTATGGACATAGAGCATATACAATATTACACTAGGCTGCGGTCAAACAGAGAGATATGAGGCAGTGACCTCATTGAAGATACCAAGGACAGTAGAGGCAGATCTCTGTGAATTCAAGGATAGCCAAGGCTGTCTCAAACAAACAAACAAACAAACAAAGACACCAGGGATAGCACAAAGGTTGCTTTTTTTTCTCTACAAACTTACTTTTTTCTAAGGAAGCTCATACATAGAAAATAAACTGTATAATACAATACAGCACAACATGATACATGGGAGGCTCTACAAAGAAAGTACAATGGTGTCCCCACACTCAATGAAAACCTAATCTAAGACAATACACTTCATTTCCACATGTGATTAAACTTTTAGGGAATCTGCTCTTTTCATAAAAATTAGCTTGGAAGCTATTTCAAGATAAATGCTATGAGCATTATTTTGAACACACTTTCCCATGAGGTAACAGTAAAGATTTTCTTATGTGGTTTCTGATTCTTAGACTCCTACATATAAGATTGAAGGCAGACCACTGGCAAGTTAAAGTCAGGTGGGAGCGACCTAGTTTACCTTACATCTGAAATGCCCACATGGAGAATTGCATGTGTGTCAGTATTGCATGTAACACTACACACAATGTGAAAACCTGAATGAGAACCAAATAGAGAAGGGACTTAAGGCAAAAGCCAAGAAAATCTAGTTAATGTGGCCTTCAGTTAATAATGTATCGATATTGGGTTATTAACTGTGCTAAATGTATCACACTAATATAAACAATCAGTAATAATGAAACCTAGATATGCTGTAGATGAGAATCTCTATGCTATCTATATAAACTTTCTGTAAATCTAAACCTACTTGCAGTTTCCATATATATATATATATATATATATATATATACACACACACACATATATACACGCACATATATTCGTGAGGTATTTATGAAAATTATGACCATCAAATCATCTCACATATAAATTAAAACATGACTGTGCAACTTTTTGAAGACAAATAATGTTCAGCTTTTCCTTTTACTACCAGCTGCACAAGAACAGGAGTTCTGGGAGTGCAGAGCCTTTTGTTTTGATCTGTATACGCTGTACTTCTATTGTCTGTCACACAGAAAAACACTCAGTAAATGATTATTGATGACCTCAAGCCCTTAGCTGTCAAATAAACACACAAAAAGAAAAAACAAACAAGCAACCCACCAAAAACCAAATTCAGAGAACAAAACAGCAAAAAACTAGGAGCCTTGACAAATGAATTAGAATTGGACTTTAAAAAAACATGTGTGCATGTTTGTGTGTAAGTATGTGCACAGTATGTACAGCACATGTCGTACTGATGTGTATGTATAGCTTCTGTGTGTTAAAAGCTCTTGTGGTATTACTACACGAAGAAAAGCATACGACTGCAGTATGAGAAGCTTGTACACACGTGAGAAGGGAGGACCCCATCGAGCCAGACAACAGTCCGAGCGAGGAAGCGGAACCAGGACACTCCCAATATGGCTAGCTGCGTTGGGTTTAGGATACAAATACTTACAAGTCAGTCTTTCCCGGAGCTCAGGGGTTGGAGCCATATCGACTGCGCTTTTGCCATGGCAGTTGACCAAGGTGGGGTCAGCACCATGGCTCAGTAACAAAGAACAGACTTCTACACGGTTCTTAGAGGCAGCTTCATGGAGTGGCGTGAACTGCCACAGATCCATGGCATTAACACAAGCTCCGTGCTGAATAAGGAGAATAGCAGACATTAGTAATCATTTCCTCAAGGGAAGGCAAACTCAGAAAACATATTTCACTAAATATTTCAGCTATACATTTCGGAATGTAACAGTTTTACATTAGCGTTTAAAAAATAGTTCAAAAAATGTTCAAAACACCAAAAACTAAAGGGAGAAAAAAAGCCTCTTCCAAGTAGGAACAGGGAAGGAAAAGGGCTCTTTCTGATAGAGAAAAGGGAATTAACAGCAGCTGAAACTCAGAGCTCTCTGACCGCAACTGGCCTGCCCGTGCAGAGCAGCAACACCTGAATTCCAAACAGTGATGGGTGAGTTCTGCTGCTGTAGCATGGCATAGCACAGCTGGCTCTAAACTTAGAATTTTCTTGTTGATTGTTTGCTTGAGTTTTGTATAAACTTGTTGTTGTTTTCCCCTTCAAAACAGAAATAACTTAATATTCAAGGTCCTTTCACAGGAATTCTTTTTTCCCCAGTAGCAGGAATAATTCATTATCAATGATTCCTACATGAGAGAAAAATGAGCCCAACTTCTAGCACAAAACAATTACAACCAGGATATAAAGCATTAAGGCAATGCTGTTTAAATTACAAGAGGTATTAGTCATTCATTATGTGGAGGATGTTCTCTTCTCTTGATCATCTAAATAATGTTTAACTGAATGTTCAGTTTTCATAATAAATAAACTAAAAAAATTCATAAATAAAAAGTTTGAGTTGAATGTTCAAAGTTTTTATGCAATGGAAATATTTTTATATATTATCTTACTGTCATAAAAATAAAATATTATTTAAATACCAAAAACTATTATTTAAAAAATGCACAAAGTATAAATAAGTTAAAAACACAAAAACCAAGCCAATATGATTCAATGTTTTGGATTTCTCTTACCTTTAACAGCAGTTCTGTGACCTCATAATGTCCATATGAGCATGCATTATGAAGAGGTACAAGTCCGCTGAACAAAAAGAGAAAATGAAATTTCAAACACAGCCATATGGTTGTGAATTGCTAAAAACTTACTAAGTTCAATTTTTTTAAAAGCATTTTAAGACTTTATGAAAAGAACTCAAAAGTACAGCCCGTGTCTACACCTTTAGCAGTTTTCTTGTGGTCTTTATACATGAGCCATAGAAATAATAAAAAACTATCCATTAGAAGAAGAATTAAAAGAAAGACCAACATAGTAATAAACAAGTAGTAATATGTGTAATAGATAGGCCAACTGGCAGGAAACCGAGCTCGTCCTATTTTAATCCACTTTTGTGATACTGTCCAGTATAAGAATTAAATGTACTATAACTTTCCCATCAGAATGCCCTTCCTAAGCAAGGTTAAAAGCCATCCTTTTCTGCTGTGTGCTTCTCTTGATGACTGACCATTATACACCCATCTGTTCTTAGACATGCATGAGAAAACAGGTGTACAAGGGCACCTGGCCCAGGAGGTGACATGCCATTCACAGGAGGCAAGAGACAGCATGGAAGGGGGCAGATTTGAAATGGATAGATTCTCTTTCTCGTAATTATCTCAAGTATGGAGTTCATTTCTGTGCTTCCTGACATGAATGTGAGCTGAAAGAAAGAAATCTTCCCCTAGGGTATTGCTTCTTTATGCTGTCAATCAGATTTCTAACCTAATCTGCCTCACCTGGGTAGGGTCAATTATTCTTGTGATCTTAAGGCCAGATAACAAGAAATGTCAGCTTTCATGTGGGACCGTGATCATTAGAAACTAGAAAGACATCGGTAAGCTTCCGATATTTATCAACTCACAATGACATACATTTTTGTTTGCTATCTATTCCTTCCTGTACTGATATTTATAAGGATCATCTAGATTGAATTATCTTAAGTACATTCTAAAAAATGACTAAATTAAAAAGTTGTTTACTCATTACGTTAGTTTATTAATACAAGGAGATTCTCTTAATAGCTACTACACTAGATTATCCCAATTTTCAGTAATTTTTAGACCTTTCTGAAATGAAATTTAAGAGATGAAAGTGGGTTTAACTGGGAAAAATAATTTCAAATAGAATTGCAACAAAATTAAATTGGTGCAAGAGATGATTATGAGAAATCTATTGCAGGTACATTAAATAAGATCTAAGGTCAAACCTGGGACCATTATTTTTAAATTTATATTAATTGTGTATGGGTGTTTTGCCTACATGAATGTCTATATTGCATGATTTTGTACTTGGTGTCTATAGAGGCCAGAAGAAGGCATTGAATCCTGTGAAATGAGAGTTGGAGATAGTGTGTGTGAGCTCCCATGTGGGGTGCTAGGAATCAAACCCTAGTCTTCTGGAATCAAAGCCAGTGCTCTTAACCACTGGGCCATCTCTCCAGCCCCATGGAGGCAGATCTCTGTGAGTTTGAAGCCAGCCTGGTCTACAAAGCAAGTCTAGGACAGCCAAGGCTACAAAGAGAGACGCTGTCTCACTTCCCCCCGCAAAGAAAAATAACATAATTATCCACCCATGGATTCTTTAAATAGTGACACTGGCTGCACCTACCCTTTGTCTTTCGCGTGAACGTCAGCACCGTGCTGCAGAAGCAGCTGAACTATCCGAACTCTGTTGTAGCCTGCTGCCAGGTGTAATGGAGTAGACTGAAAAGACGAAGAAAAGCTCATCATTTCTTCAGGTTAAAAAATATATATATACATAGCTTTTGGTCTTCACTCAGCTTCTAACTACATGAGGGACAATTTCTTTTCCTGGAGAGAGAAGTCTATTTCCAGCGTCACTGCGATGGTTTGATTCAGGTTTGTCCACATGAAACAGAATTCATGTAACCAATGTCAGAGTGTTCAGGTGTCAGGGCCTGCTGTTCTCCAGGAAGAGTTAAGGCTCATGAGGCACTGGGTTGACACTGCAAAAGGGAGCTTCTGCAAAGCAAGTCCTGCTTAACTCACTCTCTTGCTTCTCTCCCCAGGTAATTTTTCCTCCCAGTCTCCCTCCCTTCTCTCTGACATGCACAGACACAGACACAGATAGACAGACACACAGACACATACTCACTCACTCCTGCCGTGATACAGCAAGGGGCCTTTGCCAGATGCTGGCATCATGCCATCTGGACCTTCCAGCCACAAGAATTATAAACCAAGAACACTTCTCTTTATATAAAACTCAGCAGCAGTTTATAGCAGCACAGAACTGGCACAGACTCCATCTACGTCCCTTATTGGTCCTCAAGGCCTTCAATTATTAAGCTCTACCCTACTGTGTTGCTTCTTCTCTCTTCCTTTCCAGCATGAACCATTCTTATTACACTAACAAAGTCAAGGAATGGTCATGCCAAATAACTGGAAACATAATCATCTAACTTTCAAACTTTTAATGGGAAAGATTGTAAGGCATCCCTGAGGAATTACTTGAAGACGCTTTACTGAAGACCAAAAAGACAATGCACTTTATCCATTCCCTGTGACTTCTAGCAACAAGGAGAAACTACATTGCTCCACCAGATGTCCCACTATACATGGCTTCTGAATGGGGAAGCTCCCTCCAGAGACAGCACTGCTATGGATGACTACTCAGTAAGCTGGTAAGCTGTTGGTGCAAATCTGACATTTACTACTTTGATGAAAGGGTGGTAATTTAATTGACTATAAGCAAAAAAAAAAAAAAAGAAAGAAAAAATTTCTTTTTTTCTAATGTCTTTTACACATTGTTTGTTTATAGTACTTTCCATTTCCAAAAATGAACAAATCTCAAATATATACTTATTTTAATAGTTTATGTAAACAAAATATAAGAAAAAATAGTTTCTTATTTTTCAGATTTTTAAGAATTCTTTGAGTAAATTATTTACAATGCCTCAAAGAGCTAATACGCTTAGTTTATGAACTGTTAAAATATTTATATAGCTAAGATAAACGAAGAGATTCCATAATTGATCAGGTTACAAATGAGAAAATGCCAGAAATAAACTGCCTATGAAAAGATGGAGTTAAGGAATTTCAAAAGCTTTTAAGAACTTATAGCACTGGTAACATGACTCAGGTAGTGAAAGATACAACAATGTCTAGTTTGGAAAGAATAATGAAAGAGGGAAGCAGAGCCATGGTGGTGACTAGGGCTAAGATTACTGAATGTAAAGGGCTCAACATGTTATGGTATCATTTTATGACATGCCCTGAATGTAGACAGCATCATTTTCATCAGCTGGGACCTGACTGATGGGCTGAGTAAGCTGAGCACTGGCATCCATGCATGCATTCTGTCTGAACTGTGGCTATGGCCACAGTTGGCCGCTTCACGTTCCCAACAATCTTGACCTCAGTGATGGACTGTGCCCTGGAATTGTGAGCTAAATTAAGCCCTTCCTGCCTATGTTGTATTTGTTTTATCAGGGCAATAATGGAGTTACATTGACATTTCAACAGGGGCATATGTGATATTTGATGTATTTTCCAGGAAAGAATAAGACCCAAACTGTGACGCTACGATGTAAGTCACCATAGAGCTGTTTAATCTATACTGCATATACACTGTTCTTATTTTCTTTAAGATGAGAATTCAGTGTGGCCTATATCAGATCCTCTAGAATTTTCCAAGCACTGGTGACCAGCTTGTTTTGCTCTGTCCAGGACTGCCCTGTCTCTAGGAAACTCACTGCTGTCAGGGTGCCAGGCAGATTTAACACTGGTCAAATTTCTTGGTATCTAGAGCAGTGGTTCTCAACCTGGGGGCGGGAAGGGGGGCTGGGAGGAGATACTGTTGAATGACCCTTCCTCAGGGGTCACATATCAGATATGCTATATACATTACATTACAGTTCACAACAGTAGCAAAATTACAGTTAAGAAGTAGCAACAAAAATAATTTTATATTTGGGAGTTACAACATGAGGAACTGTGTTAAAGGGCTGCAGCATTAGCAAGGTTGAGAACCCAAATCAAGAAAGAGTAGGAGTCAGTGTGTGTGTGTACTCGCGTGTATCCTTATATACACTTGTATTCCAAAGAAGATCCATTACTTTAGTATGTTGGAAGACTACCTATTATGAGTTAGTTCAAGACAATGAACGCTGCCATTTTTGTCATCTAATGCTTCAGTTCTTCCAAAGACTTACGCGCAGCCTTTCTTAGCTCCATACATTCAACAACATAAGATACTGTTTGAATTCTTCCTCCAGAATCTTTCTCTACAGTTCCAACTACAAAATGATTTTGTAAAATAAGGTTTAAACAAGTTTAAAGAAATATAAAATACCCACAACATTTGTTTCCTATGTTTTAATAATCGCTGGTTAGCAAGACATTGTTCCACAAGCTTGTAATCTCTTTTGACAAAGGCCCCTCCCTCCCCAAAAGCATTCTACAGCAAATTAAAGCCAGTGACAATCCACTTTCACACACTTCACAGTGCCTCTAAACTTTATGGCACTTTTCTTTCAGACTTCCAAGTTACTACCAAATGCAACAAAATAGCTCTCATAATCTAATGTTGATGTCAATATTGAGATTTTATGGTTGTTCCTGTAAAACCGGTTTGCAAAAATCACAATGACTGTGGTTACTATGTCCTGTAATTTCCTCAAAAGCAAAACACTCCTCATGCATCTTGATTTTTGCTGCAGGATCTTCAATACTGCCCTATTGAAGATGCCTTTTGCCTATCTCCTTCCTAAAATAGTTTGTGGCTACATTGGTATTGCTTATAAATTGCAACTTAACTTTCCTCTTTCAAATGAACTCCTTAACACCACCTCTCACCTATTATTACCCAGGTGACAGAATGCTGCCAGGACAGAACTTTAAGGCTAAACGTTCGCTTCAGTGGGAAGACTACACATGTTCCATCAGCGCGCAATGATATTTCTTCCCATCAGTCTATGAGTTCAGATATTATCTTACCTTTAAACTCTGACTTAGATTAGAAAAGCTCCGTATATATAAAAACAAATACAAAGCCTGAAAATTCAACCTTTTTGATCTATAAAATCATGTCCTTTTAAGTCTGGCTTCAAAAGTGAAAATATCACATGTATTTTTGCAATGCCAGCTGGTCTCAAATTATGAAATTCTTTACATTAATCATTCTCTCCAGAGTAGAATCCCTTTTAAACATGTAGATTAATATATTCTATGTAAAATTCAGGCAGTGCAGAAAACATAAACAGCTGTACCATTTATTCTGCAGCCCAGCACGCCCTTTCCCAGAGGTAATCACAGTTACAGCTGCTCAAGGGTCCTTGGAGACTTCCTGTGTCTGATAGTGTGTTTTCTCTAGTTTTTGTCACACCAACAAAACTGCATTATATTTTTCTGTGACTTGTTTTTTTCTTCCTAATGTTATTACAGAGAAGTCTGTCTTACTCTTTGTAATGGCTGTACAGTATTTTCTGTTGTTGGCTGTATCCTAATTATTTACTCACTGCCTATAAATGATTATTTAAGTATTTCAATTCTTGTTCCATTTTATCAAAGAATATTTCATTTGGATCTATTGTTTGGTTAAGACAGATCAGTGCTTTTCTGATACAAATAAAATACTGCACCAGCCATTAAGTCAAAATTCCTAGGCAAACATAACAAACATATAATCAAAGCTTTATTAAATTTCAATCAACAGAGACACGATGAATCTGCTATGATGGAAAGCTTTAAGAAGCTCTTTGAGACACTGATACTTAGATGATTAAAAGCCAGAGAATCAATATGGGCATGCATCCCTGGAAATAAGTACATCCTACTGCTGAGCCCTGTCTTTTTAAGTAGTACAATTATGATGATCAGCATCCTTGAAGTTTCTTAACTCTTACAGACCACCACAAAGAATATTACAAAGTGTGTGTGTGTGTATTAACTGGCTATCAGGAAGTGACCTGGGCTTGAAAGTATGATTACCACCACAGGACAAATGAAGAAGCCAGGAACAAGAGATAACAGTAGGGAGGTGGGGGGGATCAAACCCAGAAAAGACTGACATCATTCTCATTCTGCATTCCTTCTCCTTCATTGACTGGAAGCTCAGATACATAAAGGATATTCAGAAATGGACAGGTATGACTGAGTGGCAAGGATCTCGTTGGTTCTAAGTATGTCAGCGCTCAGATTCTCAGGTCATTACAATGAACCACACCAAGAGTGAGACCATACCATTAGAATGAGCACCCCAGAAATGTTGGGCTTTTTAATAATAGAAGCTGCCTAGAAGTACAGGACAAGGAAGAGCAAGAAAACTGAACATGGAGAGCAAGTTTTATTTTACTTTTTTCCCACAGCAGGATTTTCTCCAGAATTCTCAAAACACAAACTGAGTTTTCAGTCAGGAAAACCTCTTTTTAAAGAACAACCTGTTGGTGTTATTCCCTGAGAAGGTCTCAACTGCACTGACAGACTAGACCAGCTGTCATTTAAGAGTCTCTTCCTGGTGAATGTCTGTGAATTCGGATGAGCTCCATTAAGTGAAAACACGGTGGCTGATAGTTTACAGCCCCATCTTTAGGAAAGAATGCAAATATCTGAATTCAAAGTTCTAGGACTATGAGATGCCTTATTATGTTTCAACTACCTTAAATTCAAAGTGTGTCACGGAGGCTCAAGGCCTACAAGTTCAAGGCCAGTCTCAGTAACTTAGCAAGACTCCCCCCCCCCCC